AAATACTGTGATAATATAAGCATGTGGCAGTTGTGATGCCTTTAAAAAGCAGAAGGGAACAGTGCACTAAGAGCTGATTCACCTGTGCAAGAGAGACTAAATCCCACAGGTGGGCCCTCTGTGGGATGCCCTCCTCCTGCCAGCCCTGTCATGTCCCTGCCCAGTCATGCAGGATGTGTCTGTTTTCCTGCATCTCCTTTATGGAGACACACCACAGAATGTGGACCACATGTGCTGGGCCTTTATACTAGCCTCACATCTACACCACATGCTGAAAGCACTTTTAACGCAGATTTAAAGCACATGGCTTTCCCCAAGAATCCTGGGAACTGTAGCTGACTCCTCCCAGAGCAGCCGTTCCCAGCATTCTTAACAAACTACAGTTCCCAGGACAATTCACAGCGGGAGCCATGCGTTTTAAATGTGCTTTAAATGTGCGGTGTGGATAGGACCTATCTCCCATCCTTAAGCTAAAGGCCCTGGAGTGATTGGCCCTTGCACACTTTGTTCTGACCAAACTAAGCCTCCTAGGACACATCAGATGGTTTCATTTGGTCCGAATCGAGTATCTGCTTCCAGAGTTAACACTAAATACATTACTTCTGGTAAACGAGGCACCATAGCCGCCAGAGGGACATGAATATTTGCGCCCTGGGCTTTTGAGACTTGTCTACCCATGTGCTTTCTGAAACCAAAGGGGGGCACTGGTTGACAGATGTGAAATATTTTTCAGCTCTCCTCCCCCCACTCTTTCAAAAGGCATCAAACTTGTCACATCACTGTCTGTGCATGTTTTTGAAGGGAAAGGCTCTCTTCATTTATTATTTGATCAGCTAGCCAGTCTCCATCCTCAGTTACGCCTTTGAGCAGGTCACCCGTGAAGCAAGACGAGGAGACCACCTCAGGTGGCAGGATCTACATTGGTAGCAGATGTCAACCTTTATTCCCTGCTTATTCCTGATGTAGATTTTCACTCAGCGTTTCTTCCCTGGTGTGGGGAGCTACGTTTTGGGGTTCGCCTCAGGCGTCAATATGCCTCTGAGTGCAGACCCTCTAAGTGTCCCTATTTTCCAGGGACAGTCTCAGATTTACAGAAGCAGTCCCAGTTTCTGATTTGATCCTGGAATGATCCCCTTAGGACGCCCATATTTTCACTGGAGAAATGTTGGAGGGTATGCGAGCGCAACTTTAAAACAAGCAAAAGACTTGTCTGCAGGATATAATCGAAGATGCTTTCAAAAGATCCTACTGATCACTGGCTACTGAAGAATTTAAGCCAGGGGTAGGCAAACTAAGGCCCGAGGGCTGGATCCGGCCCAATCGCCTTCTAAATCCAGCCCATAGACGGTCCAGGAATCAGCGTGTTTTTACATGAGTAGAATGTGTCCTTTTATTTATCTCTGGGTTATTTGTGGGGCATAGGAATTCATTGATATTTTTTTTCAAAATATAGTCCTGCCCCCCACAAGGTCTGAGGGACGGTGGACCGGCCCAAGGCTGAAAAAGGTTGCTGACCCCTGATTAAAGCGCAGTACTACTGTTATGTACAACAGCCAGCCAGCCTAGCTCCTTCTTTCCAATATGGAAATAATGACTTGAAACAGATAAATCGTAATCAAGTAAATGGTAATCAAGTAACTTCTCCTAACGAATCAGCTGAGGAGCCATTGCCCCTTTCCAAAGCTAACAGAGGCTGTGGACACCTCCAAAGGTTCAAAGCTTTATGGCACTTCCTGGCACCTGTGACTTTTTTTTATGACTTCTGGAAACTGATTAACCTGGCAGCCTCAGCCTCCGAAAGGTAATGTTCCTGCAGCAGTTAAACATTTACCCACCTGATGATGTGACACGAAGAACAAAAAGTTCAGAGAGGTGTGTAACCTCCCTGTTTGAAATGAACTTTCCCCTTTCTCGCGGAAAAGTAAAAATAGCCCTATAGACTATTGTCTGCATCGCCCTAGGATCCCACCAGCTGGCTCTTGCCTTCCTTCTTGGGCGAGAAGTCAAACCCTGCCGCTCACAAGGCCAAAGTACACTGTGAGGAACAGAAAGTGCTGCATCCACATTAGCAGCTATTCCTAGCTTCAGAAGAATCTGTGTGTCGAGAACACTCTACAATACTTCAAGATTTCAAGGAAGTGCGTTGCCGCTGTATCTGTACCAACTCTGTTTAAGCCTTTTAAGGACTGGTAGTGAAAAGCTGCAAACGACAGGCTGTGAAACACGCAGAATGCGTGCCCTCCAACATTTCTTCAGTGAAAATTGGTACTTTGTATTAAATAATAAGTATGTTTCCAAGCACAATTCAAAGTGTTGGTGCTGACCTTTAAAGCCTTAAATAGCATCGGTCCAGTATACCTGAAGGAGCATCTCCACCCCCATCGTTCTGCCCGGACACTGAGGTCCAGCTCCAAGGGCCTTCTGGCGGTTCCCTCACTGCGAGAAGTGAGGTTACAGGGAACCAGGCAGAGGGCCTTCTTGGTAGTGGCGCCCGTCCTGTGGAACACCCTCCCATCAGATGCCAAGGAAATAAACAACTATCTGACTTTTAAAAGACATCTGAAGGCAACTGTAGCAGGAACCCCCCCCCCCAATCATTCAGTTTGTACAAACTTCACACACACACTCACACACTACATACGCTACGCTTCTGTTATAAATTCATAGAAAATCAACCATACATCGGATTTGCACTGTTCCACTTTTATTTTACTCCATGAAGGAAGGACTACAAAATGGGGAAGGTTTGATACAGGGCAGCCATAATCCTTGAGCATGCCAGTACATACACAGGAGCCCTGCCCAGTTGCTGTGCCAACCCTGATGGTCTCAGACAGAAGACCATCAACAACACAACGGACTGCATACACGAGTGGATTCAACACGGACTATAACAAAAGAACAGTGATTGGATTCCCCCTCAGGGGGCAGGAAACTGCGACTACCTTTTCTCTTCTGAAAATGACTCATGGGGAGGGGGAGAAGGGACACCGGCCAGGTGACAGGACACTCAGGTTACCACCACCACCCCTCCCTCAACCCCTCCTTTCTGTGATGTATGCATGATGTTTCTGGGGGTGGGCTTGATCTACAAGGTGGCAATTTCAAAAGTCTTTATAAGGCCTTGCACACCATTTTTCTGGGTCCCTCCTCTCTCCTGCAAGTGAGGGGAGCACCCTGTTGCAACAGTTCAATAAAGGCCAAGCCTACAGGCTGCTGTTTTGCTCCAAGTTATCCTGGTTGGTGTCTTTGTTTTTGTCCAAGGGAGCCCTCGGATTTTTCCGTTAACACAGCCCTGTTTAGGGAAGTTTTTTATGTTTGATGTTTTATCATGTTTTTAATATTCTGTTGGGAGCTGCCCAGAGTGGCTGGGGAGACCCAGCCAGATTGAGGGGGGGGGTAATAAATATTATTATTATTATTATTATTAACTATCTATACCACACCCATCTGACTGGGTTGTCCCAGCCACTCTTGGTGGCTTCTAACATATATAAAAACATAATAAAACATTAAAACTTAAAATTTTTCCCTAGACAGGGCTGCTTTCAGATGGCTCAGGGGTCAGAGAACATTTCTCTGATGAAAATAGGGATGCCCTGGCCTAAGGGAAAGTGGGACATTCCAGGATCAAATCAGAAACCGTAAATCCGGGACCGTCCCTGGAAAACAGGGACGCTTGAAGGGCCTGAGCATTTTTGCATGAAGAGGCATACTGAAGCAAGGGGGTTGGACTAGATGACCCTTTGGGTCCCTTCCAACAATGCAATGATTCTGAGAAAGCCCAAAGCAGAGTGGTTTGCTTAGCCTGCTTTGATGCTGTTGGTCTCTTGAAACACTGACCAGGCCTTAGCCTGCAGAAAGCCAAAGCTTCTCACAGGCTTTGGTGCCATCAATAAAAGCAATAAATCAATAAAATAGAGTGGATTTGGAAATGGATAAAGAAGTTGCCTTTGGGTGCTGGAATATCTGTAACTCGTGAGCCCTGTGATTGTGGCATGTTAAGACACTGACTGGACTGAGGCTGAAGGTTTAAGGAAAGCAGTTTGAATGTGATTTTGAGGAGGGGAAGAGGAATGCCAAAACAAGGGAGACAGTTTTAAAATGAAAGATGGAAGAGCAACTATGCTGTACATAAAAAAAAAGACAGAGTTTGCAGCAGCCGAGTTGCTTCAGTGCGTGAGGAGGTGAATTCCTGGTGCTTCTGTTGCCCTGATATCTGTGGAACATTTCAGCATTTGCAACAGCCTCCAAATTCCATGACGCGGCTGGGGAAGAAACAGTCTGTCATCGCCCAGGAGGTGGAGGTTGCAGCCACGCATTCCTTCCAGGGCGACAGAGATTGCGCAGACTTTATCACACACATGAAAACAAAAGAAAGGGGAACGGTGACTAACTGGGGGAGGGCGGCTGGAATGAAAGTGGGCTTTGGCTGACAGAGAGGTCACTCACGGGTTGGGTTGCTGGCGTGACAGGGGCCTATTTCAGGATTTGGAGCTTTTTTAGCAACAAAATTGTCATGCCTTCACAGAGTCCTCTTTGGCAGGCTGTCTTTGCTCCTGGTGAACAAACAAAGTTTCATCGTAATGGCCAGAACTGAGTAGCAGAACTAAAAACAAGAAGCAGCCCTTTGGCAGGTAAAAAGGTAAAGGACCCCGGACAGTAAGTCCAGTCGCAAACGACTCTGGGGTTGTGGTGCTCATCTCGCTTTATTGGCCGAGGGAGCCGGCGTACAGCTTCCGGGTCATGTGGCCAGCATGAGTAAGCCGCTTCTGGCGAACTAGAGCAGCACACGGAAATGCCCTTTACCTTCCTGCCGGAGTGGTACCTATTTTCACTTTGACATGCTTTCGAACTGCTAGGTTGGCAGGAGCAGGGACCAAGCAACGGGAGCTCACCCCGTCGTGAGGATTCGAACCGCCAACCTTCTGATCGGCAAGCCCAGGAAGCTCAGTGGTTTAGACCACAGCGCCACCCACGTCCCTCACTTCAACAGAGTCTGGGTTTATTCCTTCCTGGGGCTGTGTCAATGTGTTCCTGTGTGCGCATTGACAAACCTGAGTGCTTTCGATTTTATACCACTGAAATCTATCTCAGTGTGTGTGGTGCTTGGGGATGTATTCATGTTGTGTCCTGTTGTCCCCTCCCCTCCGGGAATACCTCCCCACCCACCATAATTTAGGGGAACCCAAGGTCTTTTGCGGGTAAGTGCACAGGTATTTGTTTTGACCCTCCTCCACGAAAATAGCTGTTTACTTGGCCGTTTTCCTATGTCATGAAGGCTGAAATTTCAATTCAAGATATTAACTGATATGCATGAAATTTCAGATATAGCTAGATAATCCCTAGTGTAGTAAAATAAGACCTTTGGAGCAAGCATTTTCAAAAAAAAGTTTTTAATGAACCGTCCTAATACCTAGCTTTATGAATCATATAAAATCAACCTCTTTGCCAAGTTCCTCCATTCCAACGCCATTTTGCCCTTGGAAAAAGGACTCCTTCTCCTGCCACTTCCCCAAGCTTGAAGACATGTATACAAACTTCCTACCCCAGGAAATGCCCAGAGGTGACAATTGCTCCAGACATGCAAAGGAAGTTCTATTGTACTTTGGGTGGTGGGTACTTAAGACATGTTTGCCTATGCTAATCTTATACTTGGGTGTTGCCCTGACACATCTGTCTATGCTAATATTGTGTGGCCCTCCCCTTTTGTGACATGTCAGTGATGTAGCAATGATGTACTGATGATGCTGTGCAAACTGTATTCTGGGATATGGTGGGAAAGTTTTAAAAACCAATGTCGCCCCATGCTCTGCGTTCACTTGCTGCTGTTGAACCTGTTGCGCAACAGTAAAGGATCTAAGTCTACTGTTTTGCTCCAAATTGCTTGGCTGGAATTTCCTTCTTTTACTGACCGCATGGACCCGCGGGGGAATTGTACCCTGAGGAGCTGGGCTGTTGAGTAGTCTCTCAACCCAGAATTTTCCTTAACAGAGACAAAATGGAAGCAGGGGGTGTGGCGATAGATGGCGCCCAGTGAAATGCTACCATGAATGTAAAAAAAGCTGACTCATACAATGTGCTACAGTTGGTAATATGTTGTTTTACATTGGATTTTCTTCCCTTTATCGGATTATCCATGGTTTGAGGAAATCATAATTTAGCAGGGGGAAATGTGGGCTGCCACTTGATGAGAAGGATGTTATATTGGCACTGCGGGGAAAACAGAGACAAAATCCGCTTCAAATCCACATTAAATTCCAGTGCGGATGAGCCCTAGTAGCCACTGCTGGCTTAATCTATGAACAATATGTTGATCACATCTAGAAGTTTAACTCTATGCTTTGTGTAGAAGTGTCTCCTATTGTCTGTACTGACTCAGGCTTCTGGTGTTTTGAGAGAGATAAAAGGTACCTCCATTCACTTTCTTTACATCATTATTTATTTTCTAAACCTTTATATCCCCACCCCCTTTTTCCTAAACCAAAAAGCCCCAAACATTTCCATCTTTGGTCCAAGGCCAATATCCATCAGTCCCTGCACCCGGCTGGGCATCAGACCTTGACTTCCTGTGCCCCCCACCCCACCCCCAGATTCAAACTGAACACCCAAGTCACTGGAGCAAAACATGCAGAGTTCATCAGTGAAAGCAAGGACACCTCTTTTCTCCAGATTGCTCTACGTCACCAAAGGCTTGTGCTTGCGGTCTCTAGCCCCTCTGAATGAAGTATTCTTGCTGCAATCATTGACAGGGAAGCTCAGTTACTCATTATCTCCTTCGTATTTGGTCATCGGGCAGCACTGGGGAAAATGTGTCCAGGAGGACGTGAGAACCTTCCTTTTTTCCATCTCTGCTCAGCATTTCTTTCCTCTGGGACTCTTTGTACTTTTGCCACTCCTTCTGCCTGACTGAGTAACCAGATTAGACTCTCATAAAGAGCAACCGACTGGGGAAACCAAGGGGATGTGATTCTGGGTCTAGAGCAATTTACTTATCAACAGGTCTATTACTGAATGTTTATGAGGATGCCTTTGGATTTCCAAGGCTGACTTGTCCTACCACCTCCCCTTCCTTCTCATCTCTGCTTGGTTATGGGGACTTTCTCTGCCCAGCAGGTTGGGAAGTGTCTGCCTTGCAAGGAAGCAAGGAGAAGAGGACAGTGTGGAGAATATCTGGACAGGTCATCTATGGTGTTTGGGAAGCCCTTTTTGCTGGGGGGGAGGGAATCATGAGCCTACTGAATTCAGTGAGATCTCCACCACTGATTTCAGATGGATTAGAAATACAATTTTAAAGTCAATATCTGCTCACTTGAATTATGTTGTAAGTGATTAGATCATGGTGAGGAACATTTTTTTTCCCAGAGACCACATTCCTTCATGGGAATTCTTACAGGGGGGTCATACTGATGGAGGGTGGGACCAAGATATCTTTGTACAGTTGGCTACATTCTCGGCATGCAAAAGTCAGAGGAGCCTGCACCTCCCCACACCCCGCCCCATCTTCCATTCAGTTAAGCAAGAGGCATCATCACATAAGAACCAATTCAAAGTGTTGGTGCTGACATTTAAAGCCTTAAATAGCCCCGGCCCAGTATACCTGAAGGAGCGTCTCCTCCCCCATCGTTCAGCCCGGACACTGAGGTCCAGCGCCGAGGGCCTTCTGGCGGTTCCCTCCCTGCGAGAAGTAAGGTTACAAGGAACCAGGCGGAGGGCCTTCTCGGTGGTGGCACCTGCCCTGTGGAACGCCCTCCCATCAGATGTCAAAGAGAACAACAACTACCAGACTTTTAGAAGACATCTGAAGGCAGCCCTGTTTAGGGAAGCTTTTAATGTTTGATGCATTATTGTATTTTAATATTTTGTTGGAAGCCACCCAGAATGGCTGGGGAAGCCCAGCCAGATGGGTGGGGTATAAATAATAAATTATTATTATTATTATTATTATTATTATTATTATTATTATTAGCACCTAAGAAGTGCCTGCTGGCTCAGGCCAATGGCCTGTCTAATCCAGCATCCTCCTTTCACAGCAGCCAACCAGATGTCTGTGGGAATCCCAGAAGCAAGATCAGAGCACAAGAGCATCCTCCCCTCTTGGGATTTCCAGCAACTGATTTCAGAAGCATTACTGCCTCTGACCAGAGAGGCAAAGCCTAGCCATCAGGGCTGGGAGACGTCAATAGCCCTTTCCTCCAGGAAGTTTTCTGATGCTCTTTTAAAGCCACCTAGTTTGAGGACCCTCACCGTCTTCTGTAAAAGAGAGAAACTGAGCCTTTAATGCAACGTTTCCCAAACTTGCGTCTCCAGCTGTTTTCGGACTACAACTCCCATCATCCCTAGCTAGCAGGACTAGTGGTCAGGGATGATGGGAATTGTAGTCCAAAAACAGGAGACCCAAGTTTGGGAAATTCTGCTTTAGTGCCATCAACCCATTCCTGTGAAATACTCTGCTAACAGAGGTCCAGACTTAGCGCCTTCTGCCCTAACGTTTAAAGGCTGCTGAAAACTTTTTGATTCCACCAGGCCTGTGCAGGGAATTAAGAGCAAATCTCCCATGGCGGTTTAGTGATGCTTGTTTTTAGTTTGTTTTTATTTTTTTATGCTCTCCTTGTATGGTTTCATTTTTTCAATGTTGTAAATCGCTTTGATGTTTTGCGATTTAGCGGTATAGACGCACCTTTGTAAACATATGGGGAATGAATGAATGAATGCAATTCAGCATAAACAAGTGTAAAGTATGCACATCAGGACACACACACACAGTTCGAAAACCAAAGCGCGGCTTCCGATTGGCTGTGTCGGACTTTCAGCTTCCAAAAAACATTCTCAAATCAGAACACTTACCCCAGGGTTTGTGGCATTCGGGAGCCGACTTGTTCGGGAGCAAAGTCTTTCAACAACCAAGCCTTTCAACAACCAAGGTACATATATATATATATATATATATATATAAATCTTAATTTCACCTATACTAGGGTCTGGTCCAAAAACGGGTTTTTTTGTGGGGTGGAGGAGATGTTCCCAAAAAACATTAGCTCAACAACTTTGTCCTGATTTTCACTTTGGGGAATATGGCAACCCTACCTATACCCTACTGGGGGTCTGAACTGGCAGTGCTGGCAGTGAGTGACCAGGAATGAGGCCTTGGGGCATTAGTGATTGGTCCCGATCCTGTGAGCAGCTACGGTTGAAGCTGAATTCCCTCTTAGGAAGGGAAAATAAAACTGTGAGTCTCACAATGCGTTCACATGAATCTATGGTGCGAGCAAACCTGAAATCTCGCGCTGGTGCCGTGTAGAAATCACTAGGACTCAGGGATATCTCCACATTAATGTCAGCCTGCAGCCGCCTTATATAAAGCTATGAGACGTGGATTGCCCTGATAGTGTGCCCTCGGTTCCCTCTTTGTCTGCTGAGATTGGGAAGAAACTCAATACCGAAGTTAAGCAGAGTTTCCTTTGCCTGGATTCACATTTCATGTGCTCGGAGTTCGGCACACGATCCCCTGGAAGGGACCGTGATACCTTGAATCTAGTATCAGCTCCGCGCTTGTCACCTGCCTCCGGTTGCAGCTCTGCGCAGGCGGCAGCAGCCTGCCGGATGATAACAAGCCCAGATAGGCCTTGGCTTTGTGTTCCTCTGAGGAGGTCAGTCCTGGTATCTGTTACTTGCCAGCTCAGTGCACAGCCAGGGCCAAGCGGGTTGGGCGGGGGAGAGCGTGCTTCACGCAGGAAGGAGGTGGCGCGGAGCAGGAGGCCAAGTCATCTGATCCATAATTGATTTATTCTTCTGAAATGTACTCTTGCGGCATGTCAATGAACAGCTTGACGGAGGTAAGGAAAAGAACAGAGGCCTTTGTCCACCTAGCAGGAACAAAGGGCTGCCTATGAGCTCGTGGGCGAGAGTCTGACCCAGCAGAGATCAGCTGGCCTTGGCTTCCTGCTCTGCAATTATTCAAGGCAAAAAGGCGGAAGGATTCCAAAATGCTCTGGGGATGCGGCCGCTGAGGGTTTCAGAGATGCATGAGCAGATTCCCAGTGAAGATACAGTGGAACCTCGGTTCCTGAATGCCTCCATCGTTGTACGTTTCAGTTCTCGAACACCAAAGACCCGGAAGTAAATGCTTCCGTTTTCAAATGTTTTTCGGAACCCCAATGTGCAACACAGCTTCCACTGGGTGCAAGCAGCTCTTGCAACCAATGGGAAGCCGCGCCTCGGTTTTCGAATGTTTCGGAAGCCAAACGGGCTTCCAGAACGGATTTTGTTTGAGAACAGAGGTGCCACTGTACACAGAAAGTGTCTTCTCGTGATTCTGTGATTCCTTTGAGCTTTTCCTCACCTTTCCCCACATCTTAACTTATAGCCTTTTGGGGAGATACTGGGAATGCTATTTGAAAAATTTCTTTTGACAGTCATCCCTAGGTGTCTTCAAAGTTACAGCTTCTCCCATAGATCGGTAGATGCTATATGTATGTAAATGCCATGCACATGGAAGCAAAATGACGCCCACACCACTCCCCCCCCCTCCTGATCAGTCGTAACTCTCTAACCAGTTAGCAAGTGAATACAGCTATTGAAAGGTATAGGTGCTTCCAAAAGAAGAAAAAAACACACCTCACTATTTATTTAGAGGTTTCTGACTCATGCTATTCAAGGCAATAAACAATTTTTAAAGCACAGTTTCATATAAAAACAGGCATAAAACATAGCCTTTTAAAAATCTGCAAAAGGAAGTTGGAAGAGAACTCAAGGCAGCTTTGAAAGCCAGCCCTAAATTGCTTAGTAATTCAAGATAGCTAATGGAGGGAACAGAAGGGGTCAGATTCCGAGAAGGGGGGGGGGGGGGAGATCAGCCTACTGTAAGCAGGCAACTATAAAGTCCAAAAGGACAGGAGGGTTTGTTTGCACTTAACCTTGAATTAGATAGCACTTTGCTAATAGCAGGGCCTGCCTGAGCTCACCCCTCCTTACCTCAAAGGAGGTCTGTGTAGGAAGAATTCACCTATAGCAACTGTCACCTGTCAAGGGGCCCAATGTGTGCCCCTTGTGTGCACATGGAAAGTGGTGTGATGTAGAATGGAGAAGCCCACCTCCTGCTGATGAGCTAGTAAGGGTGAGAGACAGCAGCGTGTTGCTACCTTCGCTACCAGGGCCGGCCCACCCATGAGGCAAGGTGAGGCAACTGCCTCAGGCGGCAGGATCTGCAGGGGCAGCAGTTCCGGCCTCCAAGACGCTGCTGCTGTGGTGGCAACAGCTGCTGTGGCATCCTGGAGGCCAGAACTGCTGCTTCCATGCCACCTCTGCAGAGGCCTCTTGGCAAACAGAAGGCACCGCTAGTCGCCTCCCATCTCTAGGGATGAAATGGCTGGGGCTGCCCTCTGGGGTCTCCTGAGCTCTGCACCCACCTGATGCGATTCAGAGAAGGGCTGTTCCCCATCCCACAACCACCTTTGATTCCCACTTGAACCATCAGGTAAAGTTGATTTGATTCCCCCCATTCCTGCTTGTTCCCAATGGAGGTTTCCACTCACCCCTTCCTTCTCTGGCTGGGGCGGGTGCCATTTTGCAATTTGCCTCACATGCCGGAAAGTCTTGGGCTGGCCTGGCATTGAAGGTAAAGGTACCTCTGACCCTTAGGGTCCAGTTGCGGACGACTCTAAGGTTGTGGCACTCATACCGCTTTACTAGCTGAAGGAGCCTGCATTTTTCCACAGTTTTCCCGGGTCATGTGGCCAGCATGACTAAGCCGCTTCTGGCGAACCAGAGCAGCACACAGAAACGCCGTTGACCTTCCTGCCGGAGCGGTACCTACTTACCGTATTTTTCGCCCTATAGGATGCACTTTTTCCCCTCCAAAAATGAAGGGGAAATGTGTGTGCGTCCTATGGGGTGAATACAGGCTTTCGCTGAAGCCTGGAGAGTGAGAGGCGTCGGTGCGCACTGACCCCTCTCGCTCTCCAGGCTTCAGGAAGCTCTCCACAAGCCGTGGGAGAGTTGCGCGAAGTTGCGCAGCTCTCCCATGGCTTGTGGAGAGCTGCCTGTTCTGGGGGCTGGGGTCGGGGGAAGCTCGGGCTTCCCACGCCTGGGGGGGAAATAATTTTTTTTTTATTTCCCCCCCAAAAAACTAGGTGCGCCCTATGGGCCGAAAAATACAGTATCTACTTGCACTTTGACGTGCTTTCAAACTGCTAGGTGGGCAGGAGCCGGGACAGAGCAACGGGAGCTCACCTCATCGCGGGGATTCGAACCACTGACCTTCTGATTGGCAAGGGTCTTGGCATTGCCTCCCCCTTTTCCCCAGGGGCAGCTGAAAGGCTGTTCTTGGGGACAAAACCACACAAACCCTACACACTTTTTCCGCCTGCTCTTCTGTGCCTGGCTGTGATGTTTTGCGTTCTAAAGGTGGAGTAACTCTTGCTGATACTAACCATCTTGAGCAGTAAGAAGACTGAACAAAAAAAGGAAAGCTCATCTGGTTAGTGTGTAGTGCTTATAACGCCAAGTTGCAGGTTCGATCCCCATATCGGACAGCTGAATATTCCTGCACTACAAGGGGTGATCCTCAAGGTCCCTTCCAGTTCCACTATTCTATGAAACTTTTTACTGCATGGTCCAGTTTTACTGAATATGCATCTACTGCACACTGCTTCCATCCACCGGCTTCTCACGGGACCCTGTGGAACAACTCCTTTCTTTGCTCTATTCTCCTTGCATGGCGTTGCTTTCAAAGTCTCAATTCCAATGTATTGTTTTTTTTCTGTCTCCGTACTTTGGGGAGAGGAGTGGGTTGGAAATACTGTTATTGTTGCTTTCTTGGTTTTGTTATACTTGAAAATCAATTAAAAACGTACCTTGGTTGAACAGCTTAGTTCTCAAACGTTTTGGTTCCTGAACGCTGCAAACCCAGAAGTGACAGTTCCAGTTTGCGAACTATTTTTGGAAGCCAAACATCCAATGGGGCTTCCGCAGCTTCCAATTGGCCACAGGAGCTTCCTGCAGCCAATCAGAATCCGCGCTTTGGTTTCTGAACGTTTTGGAAGTCGAACGGACTTCCAGAACGGATTCCGCTTGACTTCCAAGGTATGACTGAATGTTTTGAGGAATACGTGGTTCAGGACCTGCTGTTTAAGGCTCTAACCAGCCTGCAACAAGAGTCATGTAGCAGCAGGGGTGACTCTTCCTTGTGAGCGCCATGTACCTGCCCCCCCCCCAACACAGCTGGGATGGAAATCTCAGACTGGAGGGACCTTTGTACTCTAGCCAGGCTGCGCCCTCTTCAAGTGCTTTTCCCTGACTGAACGGTGACAATACCTCTCCCTTGCCAGGATGCACGATGGAGAGATAAGGATGAAGGGGGTGGAGGAATCTCTGGAAGTTTGCCCAGACAGAATGCAGCCTGCTGTAAGAAGCGGAAAGTCAAATCCAATTTGCCGCCTGCTTCTCTTGGCTCTGGCCCTCTCACAATCAGCGTGCTTTGCGGTTCTCAGGATGAAGAGAGACTGCCTACCCATGCCATACATGGAAACAAAACCTCTGAATGCTCTACAGTGGAGGAGGAAGGGGTTTCAGGAAAGCGAGCAGAGGGAAGTTTCCCCTTTCTCCTTCCAAATCCTCCATGCAGTGCAACCTCGTGGCACTCGTTCTTCTCTCTGCCACACCAACCCCCCCCCCCAATTAATCAACTGGGAATTACAACACAACTCTGTTTTCCCCCTTCTCAATGTCCTGTGAACTCACAGATCTGCTGGGCCATTTTGGAGTATTCTTTTCTGCTTTAATTTTACAAACTAATCTACTTCTGCCCAGTTTCCCAGCTGTGCAGGAACCACTGTCTTATTTTTGTGTGCACCCTGGTTTCATTCCAAACCAGAACCCAAGTTTGGCATTTGCAAGTGTATCCTTAGCATCTAACAGGAGAGAGTCACTGATCCCTATCTGAGCATGTGAGTAAGGGAAATCTCATGGGCGTGGGCCAATCTGCACTCTTCCCAATCCCTGCTTTTTCTCCTGGCTCATTTCGATGTGCCCTGCCAATGAGGAAAAGGGGACACGGAAGGCAGAAGAGCCAACCTCACCAGGATTTTCAAGAGAACAGGGCGGCAGCAGCTCAAGGAACACCTCCAGGCAAAAAGAAAGGCAAAACAGGGGACAGACTTTACCTAGACAGACATGAATTTGATTATTGTCAAACCTCGGCTCCGAAATGCCTCCGTTTTGGAACGTTTCGGCTCCCAAACGCTGAAAACCCGGAAGTCAATGTTCCGGTTTTTGAACCTTTTTCTGAAGCTGAACATCTGACACGGCTTCCGCTTGTGTGCAGGAAGCTTCTGCAACCACTTGGAAGCCAGCGCCTCGGCTGTCAAACATTTTGGAAGCCAAATGGGCTTCTGGAATGGATTACGTTCGACAACCAAGATTTGACTGAATATGGTCAGGATCACTTGTTTCTAAAACGCACATATACTGTTATGCAGATGACGACACCAAAACAGGCAACGTGTGCCAGAGTTTTGGGCCACCCCTTTCAGTGGTTTTGCCCGAAGCCTCGGCTTCTTAACGAATGTGTCCCACGCTGGCTGCCGCAGCACCCGTTTTGCGCATGTGCACAATTACCAGGAGCAAAGACACGAACATCCTCTTATGATCCATCTTTATTTGTAAAAGTCCAGATATAAAATCTCATTGTTTCTTACAAAAACAAAAAGGCACATTTAAAAACTACTCCCGCCTTCCACTCTCACCCCTGGACTCTGGTGGGCACTCCCCTCCCCCCCCATTCCATGCTTCTTCTAGCCCTCGGCCAATCGCTTCCACCCCCTGCAAGGGCTCCATCTTCCTGCATTCCAGAAGCTCACACAGCGGAGAAGTGTCAGAGTGCAACCAAATCTGGCCAGTAGTATTCTAGTAGTAGGTTTCCTTTTCCACCCAGCCTACAGAGAAAGAAGGAGAAAAGATCCGCATCAAGCTGGGTTTCTTCTTTCTCAAGTTTGCTGCAAGTCCTCAACATCAGATGCAAAAAGTTAGCCTATTCTTCTATCTAATGCCTCTGACCGATGTTAATCGTTGTGAACTATTATGCCTACAATCCAAGCCCCAGAACATCACCTTTGAGGGCTTTTTCTCCATCTTGGCAGAGCTATGAAATAAGGTAGCGGAATCCACATTTGATCCACCCAACGAACCCCTCCAAAATTGTAAAAATGCTTGCAGCATCCATGCATGGACTGTACTGCTTACTGGCTAATGCTAAATTACTTTGAGTGCCTCATGTAACAGCCCCCCTCATGCTGCCAGACCACCACCATGCAATGTATGCACACCACGCAATAATAACATTGCAAGACACCGGACTCCTACCTCCAGGGCTGCGTCTGATGATGAGTTTTCTCACTTCATCATACACAAAGATGAGGAGAGAGTAGGGGAAGGCACAGAACCACCATGTTGGTCTGCAAGATAAGAATTCCAGTTTTAATACATACTTGTATGAGGTTTAGATGAAGTCTTCAAAAACAAGTGCTAACGTACAATTTAGGATAATCCCAGGTCTTTACAAACAAAAATGACTCAGTCAAGGAATTAAGAGTGGTAGAAATTACAGCAAGACCAACCACAGCAAGAGAGGGGAAGCTTAGATGATGATCGGCTTCAGGCAGCTGATTTACTACTTACTTGAGAGGATACATCCTCAAAGCAACATCCATTCCGGGGCAGTAAGAGAGGAAAGCTGCCAAGGCAGTTTCTTCAAAGAGACCAAATATCAAGATCTTGTTCCTGTGGAAGTTTTAAGGAAAGTTAGCCCTCGAAGAGGTAGCCTTTCTTCACAACCCTGGTTTCTGAGTGGAAATGAGCACAACCTACAGGGCTCAAGTTTTTATATTTACACTTTACCCTTACTTTTTCACCCTTTCCTCTAAGGCAGTGTTTCCCAAACTTGGGTCTCCAGCTTTTTTTTTTTTCTTTTGGACTACAATTCCCATCATCCTTCACCACTGGTCCTGCTAGCTAGGGATGATGGGAGTTGTAGTCCCAAACCAGCTGCAGATCCAGGTTTGGGAAACACTGCTCTAAGGTAAGCCTACCCTGCGGGGTTTGTTGTGATTGGAAAAAAGAGAAGGGCAGAACCAGGTGTACTCCCTGATAAGGCTGAAAGTCAGTGACCCTGACCCAGAGTCCCCCAGGGAGACATGGCTGCATAGGGATTTGAACCCTGGTCTCTCAGGTCCTAGACCAACACACCAACCACTCCAACACTGGCTTGGTTTGGCAACCTGGTTTCCATTCCACATGAAATCTGGCACACTGCGTTCAGCATCGGCCACACAGAGCTATTCCTATTTTAATTTCAATCTATTTTTGTCTCTCCCGAAAGGCTCAAAAGCCAACACACAAAAACTAGCTGCTGGGAAAGGGGGGGTTGTTGGCAACCCACGACTCACTTCATTCCTTGCTGGAAAACAGAATTCCTTCTGGTCTTGCAGATAACCAAGTCTGCCCACTGCACCACCACGATGCTAACGAAGAAAGCTGTGTGGCAAGTGAACTCCACAATTTTCCTTTGCTCGTAAGTCTGAGGGATTAAAGCAGAAGAGAGACTGTTTTCAAACTTTGTCCTTCCTACTTGCGGCCATCCATAATGCAGCTAAAGTAACTCTTTAACAGTCCTCTTAAGCTCTCTGAAAACTCACCCACTGCTGTCCATAACTATCCTCCACATCATTAATCCACCGATCATCCCACGACACTCTAATCCCCAGCAAGGTGGACGGCAAGAAGCCGTTCTCTGCAAGGATCACGAAGTAGGTGAAGAAGCCTCCCAAGGCCTGGATCATTCCTATGCAAGGGTAGCGGGAAGAAGGGGAATTAGTTCTCCATGGGCAACTGCTAGAAAACAACTCTTTGAATTGAGAAACACCTGGGACACCGATGCGGAGGCCTCCTTTCAGCCAATCTTCAAGGTAAGAGGGTGAAGCCACGCCTGTGCTACCAAAGCTCCAGTTGCATTTGCACTGAGCTACTGTTCTGATGATCTCCTTGTAGGCTGAGCACACGAAGGGCACGTCAGCTATTCCCCATTCTCAACTGAGACTTCGCTGTGTCCCACCAGGTCTACAGCACAAGAATGCGCACCTTCTAAATTTCTGGCCATGCCTGCTTTCTTCATCATCCTCTGCACTTGAGGACCGGCTGTAGAGGAGCCAGCTGCTTCTAAATTAACACTTTTGAACTGTGTAAGTTAAGACTACCAGGAAGTTTGAAGCTCTATGTGATTCCGCCCTCCCTCCTCCCACTCCACACATTATACAGTCATACCTCGGAAGCTGAATGCCTTGTGAGTCGAATGCTTTGGCTCTCGAACGCTGCAAACCTGTGTGCGTGTTCCGGTTTGCAAACATTCTTTGGAAGCTGAACATCTGCTTCCAACTGTGTGCAGGAAGCTCCTGCAACCAATCGGAAGCCGCGCCTTGGTTGTTGAATGTTTTCGGGAGTCGAACGGACTTCCAGAACGGATTCTCTTCGACAACCAAGGTATGACTGCATATTTTAAGCTCCTAATTGGCTAAAGTAAGATTACACAAAGCAGCCACCTCCCAGTAGCAGGTCATGTGTGAGAGTCCCTCCCCACTGAAACCACCTCTTTCCAGTTTTGACTATGGCCCTCTCTGCCCCTTTCCTCTCTTGCTCAGGATACAGCAATCGTCCACACACTGCCAGAAATGGCACAGGGGAAAGGTTAAGCTGCAGGTCCACACCCCAAGCCCTCCATTGTACTGTGCCAAAAGTTGGATCTCCCACTTCTCCCACATGCAGGAGGATTTCATGCGCCTCGACTGTATGGACCCCTCAAAAAACTTCCAACAATACGGAAGGGCCAAAATTCCACCGTATGCAAGCTGCAATCCGTCAACCTCTGGGCCAGCCAACTGGAAGCTTCCTTACCGATCTGACCGTAAGCCATGCTGATCAACCTTTCATTCACCAGTTTGTCTGTCTTGGGGTTTCTGGGCTGCCTCTTCATGATGTCACTTTCTGCCTGCTCATACGCCAGAGAGATGGCAGGAACCTTGGGAGGGAGAGAGCATTAGATATAACTTCACAAGTTTCATTTCCTGCATGAATCTGTATTGCCCAGGCCAAAATAATGATAAAAATACAAGGGGTTTGGGGAGAGGGGAAAATTCAGTCTTCCTAAGCAAGCATTTTAGAAGACCTGTGCAATATGAACAAAGCCCCAGGAAGGATGTAGGCTATTGGGTGCAAAAGTGCTACAGAAGTTTTAACAAATAATAAACTACACCACCTACCATGCCAGTCTCAAGGCAGTGAACAATACATTTTAGAAATAGAACATCCACATTAGACTCAATACCCTGCTCTGCGCTGATAACTAGATCTCCACAGGCTGCAGCACTAAGGCAGCCTCATCTGGGATAGGCAAGGGATGAGGCTGTTAATGTCAGGGTCATGGGTTTGAATCCCACGTTGGGTGAAAAAAAATTCTGCATCGCAGAGGGTTGGACTAGATGACCGTCATGGTCCCTTCCAACTCTAGAGTTCTGGGGTTAGTTGATTGTAATGATCGACTAGAGCAGTAGGGAGGAGTACGCGCCTTCAAGTAACTTGGCTTGCTTTACAGGTCAGAACCAAAACCTTATTTATGGCAGAAATAAATAAAAAGATGACTTACTAACCATATCAGTCCCCAAGTCAATACACAGGATGGTGACTGTACCCAGAGGCAGGGGAATGTTTGCGATGATGAAGATGAGGAAAGGCGTGATTTCAGGGATGTTACTGGTCAAGGTGTAGGCAATTGACTTCTTCAGGTTATCAAAAATCAGGCGGCCTGAGACAAAGGAAGGGGGAAGAAAAGGACCGTCTTCACAAGGTCCCCAGGACTAACGTCCACACAAGCCACAAAGACAACAGGTCTCATTTCACACTGATGTAGATAGGAAAGAAATCACCTCAGCAGACTAAACTTAACTGAAAGCAAAAAATAATCTAGTGCTGAGGAGCAGGAGCTGGTTCCACTTTGCTGGCCAGCATTCAAGTCCAAGGAAGCTTTCAGCGCACACACACACACACACACACACACACACACACACACACAAATGTGGAGCCCCAGGTAGTGAAAGTTTGTGGACACCTGGAATTTGACATGGGATGGGAGGAAGGAAAGGGAAGTCTTCTGCTCCTTGCATTCCGAACACCAAACCAGCCACAGGAAGGAGGAACTCACCTTCCTCGACCCCAGTGACAATGGAGGCAAAGTTGTCGTCCAGCAGAATCATGTCAGCTGCCTGTTTGGAGACATCAGACCCGGCGATACCCATGGCAACGCCAATGTCTGCCTTCTTCAAAGCAGGGGAGTCATTCACACCGTCTCCTGTGACAGCTACAATGGCGCCCTGGAAGGAGAAGAGGGGAAGGAAAAGGACCTTCAGTTCCCAGATCCAAGCTGCGCACACATTAGACTAAGCTGGAATAGCCCCTTTTCTCCCCCCACTAGGCTCCCCCCCCCCCAGTTTAGCACCATTAGCGTGAATGAGGGTCCCCTCGGCTTACCTGGCGCTGGCAGCCTTCCACAATGATGAGCTTCTGTTGAGGAGAAGTTCTGGCAAAGACTATTTCCGTGTGGTGTCTCAGGATATCATCCAGCTGCTCACTGGTCATGTCCTTCAAATCGGAGCCATGAATGACACACGCTTTGGCATCCCTGGGATTTAAAAGAAGAGAGTTTTGAGAACTCCTAAACGTTACACCAAATCCTGCCCCTTCCCCCTCCAATGTGGGCAGACTCTCAGTCAGATTGGCCGCTGATCATGTTCATGGTTTTAGTGAAGAGTCCACTTGGAAGACCAAAGTGGCAAAATACAACATTCCAGTATAAATCTACATGGCGCCTTAACACTCTGGGCGCATCATACCCCTTGTATATGCCTGCCTGAACATTGAGTCCATGTTGGTAGCCCCCATGGAGGAGTCATGGCTCATATCCACCAGGAACTGATGGGCGAGGTAAAAATAATAAATTATTATTATTATTATTAAGTATTATGGGCTCAACTTTTGGCTGACTTCAGCAGGGCTCCTCCCTGTTGAACTTCCAGTGCCTTCTGAAGACTTATTATTACAGACACACCTTGGAAGTTCGTTCGCCTTCCAAGGCATGGCTTCCGATTGGCTGCAGGAAGCTCCTGCAGCCAATCGGAAGCCACAGAAGCCCAGCAAGGACGTTCAACTTCCAAAAGAATGTTCGAAAACCGGAACGATCACTTCTGGTTTTTGACTGTTCAGGAGCCAAGGTACGACTGTATTATTCCAGAAGGCATTTTAACCAAAGCCTGATTTTGCAATTTTCACTGGATTTTATGTTTTCTGTATTGTATTTCTTACAAACCACTTGCAAGACGATTGTAGCTGAGTGGTGTGTGTGTGTGTGTGTGTGTGTGTGTGTGTGTGTGTAATTTTATTTAAAATAAAAGGATGAAGTCAGCTCAATTGAGAGATGAAGCTGCAACACAGCTTCCCCAACATGCTGCTTACCAGTTTTCTTCACATATCTCTTAACACAGATACTTGCTGTTAAAATTCCGGAATTTACAAGGCGACTGGCAGGACCCCCCACCCTCCCTGAGACAAGCTCTACGGTCCCTTTCCAGCCAGACGGCTTCTCAGTACCTGGGGTTGACCTGGCTGACTGGGATGTTGAGGCGAAGAGCAATGTCTTCCACAGTCTCGTTGCCTTCAGAGATTATGCCAACACCCTTGGCAATGGCTTTAGCTGTGATTGGATGGTCGCCTGTCACCATAATGACCTGGAAGGCAAAACAGGGCAACATCAGTCTGTGGCAGCTAGAAACAAGATGGAGGAAACCCATCTCTTCAAAATGCCACTGTCCCTGAGGAGAGAGGCGAGTGTTGCAGCAGTTTATTCAAGAGGTAGGACCACCACCAGCAACCATGTTTTCACACTTGCTTTTGAGATGGAAAAGCAGTTGACAGCTGTCCCTGGACTGAACCTTCCTTGGCACACAAATAAAGCCCCTTTTCTGTGTTCTTGGGTGTTGTGGATTTACTATTTCAGAGTGACGGGGAGAAGTGGCTTACCTTTATTCCAGCACTTCTGCATTTGCCCACGGCATCAGGCACAGCAGCGCGAGGAGGGTCAATCATAGAAATCAACCCAACAAAGCAGAGATTCTCTACCGGGAAGTTGACTTCATCCGTGTCGAACTGGAAGCCTTCTGGGAACTGCTCATCGGGAAGAGCCAGGTGGCAAAAGCCTGCCAACAAATCCAATTGAAATGATTTCACATGCTCTCGTACGAGGGGAGCAGGTGCTGAGCCTGCCTATTTTGATTGCTAAGATGCCCAACAACATTTGAGAAACCCTTGTGGAATCCGGCGTTTGGGCTCTGGGGGAAGCGAGTGGAAAGTATTATTCAGAGAGAACCGGATTCTCTCCTTCTATGTGAGGCTGCAGCAAGCATTGAAAGCTTACAACAAACAAAGCCTGACCAATGTTTCACGTTATAATCTATGCAAAGCTACAGAGCCCAGCATGCGTTGCTCTGTTTCACTCAAAGAATTTGCAAGAGTGATTTCTTGGCTGTACGAAAGCAAGCACATTATTCTAAGACAGACCTGGAAAAGAGTCCACAGAACACCTTACCTAGGACTCTCTCCCCCAGGCCTCCCAACTCAAGGTAGGCATTCTGAAACGCATCTTTAGCTTCTTCGTCCAAGGGCTGCTCTTTCCCGTGGATCAGGATGGTGCTGCAACGGTCCAGGATTCGCTCTGGGGCTCCTTTCATCACAAGCAGGTACCGCGATTCTGATGTGTTTGCATTGTTGTGGATCGACAGCTGCATTAGAAAAGCGTTAGAAAATTGATTTCGAGGGTAGCGTTTCATCTATGAGGGTGGTTCGGAAGGCACTACAAAGTTCTACACAGCCTCAAACATCTACTAAGCTCTTTCAGACAAAGCCGCATCCTGACTGGCATGGAACGAAACCGCACCGGAGTTAAATACAGAACCAACCTAGCTGTCAGGGCAGGGGTCGGGAGCAGTAACTCACAAGGTATGAGTGAAGTTAATTCTTCATTCAAAGAAACAAAACATCTCGGCCTCCCCCCACATTCTTCCCGAGCAATCTGAGACTGATGCCTTGTCTGTCTCCGCTCTGCGCTCTTCATACCTCTGTGGGTTCTGGGAGACCAGGGAGGTGGGGAGTTGGACACAGCAGGAGGGGGAGACCCCCTGGCTTTTTCAGCCTGCCTCATCTCTCCCTCTTGGCCCCGGTCCTCTGCCTCTGATTCTGGGCTGGTCCTCTGCCTCTTCCTGCTCACTACACTCTGTTGCCTATTCAGCTTCCAACACCTCCTTCCCTTGGGTGCCTCCACCCCCCCCCACTCCTCTGCATCTGGCCAGTTCATGACATCAGCCCAAAGTGAAAAGTTGCTACATTTGATATAACAGCTACAGTTTACGTGAAATGTGGTGGGCGTTTTGTGAATACCACGTTCTTACCTGGTATTTGTTGGTCGAGTTGAACGGTATCTCCACCACCTTGGGGTTTTTCTCTCGCAGCTCCTTGACTGACCCACAGCACAGTTCAATGCATTTGAGCAGCGCAGATTCAGAGGCATCCCCTGCCACGGACCTCTGAGAAACAAGACAGGGGTTCACAGTGAGTAGATGATGAAGCCCTTGAAGATGAACCTCCCTCCTTTCCGATTTCCCCTTTCTTTAAGGTAACCCAGTGGCCAAAATAGAGGAAGCTGCTTTACACACAGTCAGCACTTTGGTCCATCTGGCTCAGGATTATCTACATGTAAAGTGAGGAGCATTGAGAAGTCAGACAGAAGACTTTCCGAGCCCCATCAGGAGATGCTGCTGGGGACTGAATTTGGGAGTATGCAAAGCACATGCTACACCCCTGAGACACAGGCCTCTCGCCAGGTTTCTCTTCAATAGGGATACAACCTTTTTTAGTGGAAGGGACTACTTCCGAAATGATGACACAACAGAAGATATTGAGCACAGCTGCTGCCCATCAGGGAAATAAACTGGAGATACTCAGAAATAAGTTAAATTTGCTCTGCTGGTAGAAAGAGCACCTATCCAGTGATGGCCAAACTTGGCTCTCTCTCCAGCTGTTTTGGGACTACAATTCCCATCATCCCTGACCACTGGTCCTGTTAGTTAGGGATGATGGGAGTTGTAGTCCTAAAACAGCTCGGGGGGGGGGCAAGTTTGGCCATCACTGACCTATACCTAAAACCAGGCCTGCATAAGGAAGGTTAACACAGACTAGCAGCTTGATAATGATGATAATAATAATAATAATAATAATTTCCTGGCCTTGCTGCTTGCCCAGAATTGCAAAAGAAAAAAAAGGTGAGGATGTTGTCAGATGTCTCACAGACTGATCAGTATGGCAAGCATAGGTTGTACAGTATTATTTAAATCACACTTCTGCACTATTACGTTTTTTCTATTCCTAAGTTAGCGTAGGCCTCCTTCAGTTTACTTTTTTGTTGCTACAGCAATCCAGTGGTTCTGGGCCATAGAAGAATCCACAGAAATGTCCACTGACAACTTGAGCATAAAGAAAGGTTGCCATTCTGGCCCTGGAGGGGACGCAGAGCTGCCTCTGCTGCTGGCAGAAGCCTGTTACCCCCCGACTGCATCCTCTTTCATGATGCTTTCACACGGAGGGTCAAGCGGAAGCAGTGAGCAGCCCCTGTGGTTAAGCCGGGGGATGAACTCACCTTCAGAATGGGAACGTTTTCCTGGCCGGCCTGAAACACAGCCCGGTTGCAGAGTCCAGCCACCTTGGATAAAGCCGTCCAGGTGGGAGACGTCTTGTCGAAAGAGGCACCTGTGGAGGTGGGAAGCAGCAGGGATGTTGTCAGACACAAAACCAGATTGATTGGCTTTGTCTCATTCCCCCCCAGCCCCATTTGTCACTAAGTATGACTTCGTGCATACAACAACTGCGCAAATCTCCTGTGCATGCTGGCAACTATGGACGGTCCGTACAGTACTAAAGTGGCAGCTTAGGCCCAGCCTGGGAGATGCCACTAACTGAAGCACGAATCTCAGGACTTCTGGGTATATTATATAGAGAGTGTGCTGAATAACGGCTGGTTTTTATTCATTTTTTCAAAGGCAGCATGGGCTTTCTAAACACAGTAAATTAATCTAGAATCCAGCTTTCTTGTGATTACACAGCCAAGAATGCTCCTTCAGTCAGGCTTTGAATGTGTTTATCCTTGGCTACACTGGGAACACAGAAACGATTTCATGCAATGGTAAGAGCTTCTGTTGTAGAGCCTTATTAACACTTTGGGGGGGGGGCATGCTGATTTACATGTTTTGACTACCAGCAAGAGGCAGCCGTACCACAGAGCTTATTTGATGGAGAGAGCAGCCAGCTTACCACTTTGGTTTTCTGTGGTGTCGGCCTCATGGATTTGGTTATCAAACCACATGTGAGCAACCGTCATGCGGTTCTGAGTCAAGGTGCCAGTTTTGTCAGAGCAGATCGTCGAGGTGGAGCCCAGAGTTTCCACAGCTTCCAGGTTCTTCACCAGACAATTCTTACGGGCCATGCGCTTGGCAGTTAATGTCAGACAAACCTGGAGAATGACAAAGAGAAAGGCTTGCATTCAACTACCAAGGAACAGGGGCAATTTGGCTCTGGAAGGCAGGTGGCTGCCCATCTCTGCAGCAGTTCCCAAATAATAATAATAATAATAATAATAATAATAATAATAATAATAATAAATTTATACCCTGCCCATCCGGCTGGGTTTCCCCAGCCACTCTAGGTGGCTTCCAACAGAATATTAAAATACAATAATCTATTAAACATTAAAAGCTTCCCTGAACAGGGCTGCCTTAATATGTCTTCTAAAAGTCTGGTAGTTGTTTATTTCCTAGACATCTGATGGGAGGGTGTTCCACAGGGTGGGCACCACTACCAAGAAAGCCCTCTGCCTGGTTCCTTGTAACCTCACTTCTTGCAGTGAGGGAACCACCAGAAGGCCCTCGGAGCTGGACCTCAGTGTCCGGGCAGAACGATGGGGGAGGAGACGCTCCTTCAGATATACTGGACCGAGGCCGTTTAGGGCTTTAAAGGTCAACACCAACACTTTGAATTGTGCTTGGAAAAGTACTGGGAGCCAGTGTAGGTCTTTCAAGACCGGCATTATGTGGTCTCGGCGGCCGCTCCCAGTCACCAGTCTAGCTGCCGCAATCTGGATTAGTTGTAGTTTCCGGGTCACCTTCAAAGGTAGCCCCACATAGAGCGCATTACAGTAGTCCAAGCGAGAGATAACCAGAGCATGCACCACTCTGGTGAGACAGTCCACGGGCAGGAAGGGTCTCAATCTGCGTACTAGATGCAGCTGGGAGACAGCTGCCCTGGACACAGATTTGACCTGCGCCTCCATGGACAGCTGTGAATCCAGAATGACTCCCAGGCTGCGCACCTGGTCCTTCAGGGGCACAGTTGCCCCATTCAGGACCAGGGAGTCCTCCACACCTGCCTGCCCCCTGTCCCCCAAAAACAGTACTTCTGTCTTGTCAGGATTCAACCTCATTCTGTTAGCCACCATCCATACTCCAACAGCCTCCAGACACTCACACAGGACCTTCACTGGTTCTGATTTGAAAGAGAGGCAGAGCTGGGCATCATCCAGATCTCAGCACTGACTTACTGTGACAGTAGCGAGCAGCCCCTCGGGGACGTTGGCCACGATGATGCCAATGAGAAAGATAACCGCCTCCAGCCAAGTGTACTCAAGGATCAGTGAGAGGATGAAGAAGGAAACGCCAAGGAAGACGGCCACGCCAGTGATGATGTGGATGAAGTGCTCAATCTCAATAGAAATGGGCGTCTGCCCCCCTTCCAGTCCGGAAGCCAACGAAGCAATGCGGCCCATGACCGTCCGATCGCCAGTGTTGATGACAACACCACGGGCCGTGCCTGGAAAACAGTGGCAAAGTTTTAGCAGCCAAGTCTGCGGGCGTGGGAAAAACGTGTATTTGCTCACTCTGTGTAAACACAGTTCTGCATGTTAAGGTGGCATTGTAAGTTTGATGTAAGCAAACTAGATACTCCCACTCTCATCAAGAATGGTGGCGTATGGGTTTTCACAAGAGGAACTTTATCAAGTAAACATTCTTAGAAAAGACGCTGTTTAAGAAGCTTCACTGCACACAGCTTCATAAAGCAGCTGGCAGCTACCACCCACAATTTAAAATATATATATTATTATTATTATTTCCCTGCCCATCTGGCTGGGTTTCCCCAGCTACTCTGGGCAGCTTACAGCACATAAACTATAATAAAACATCAGACATTAAAAATTTCCTGATACAGGGCTGCCTTCAGATGTCTTCTAAAAGTCTGGTAGTTGTTTATTTCCTTGACATCTGGTAGGAGGGAATTCCACAGAGCGGGCACCACTACCAAGCAGGCCCTCTGCCTGGTTCCCTGTAACTTCGCTTCTCGCAGTGAGGGAACCGCCAGAAGGCCCTTGATGCTGGACCTCAGTGTCCAGGCTGAACGATGGAGGTGGAGACGCTCCTTCAGGTCTACTGGGCTGAGGCGGCTTAGGGCTTTCAAGGTCAGCACCAACACTTTGATTTGTGCTTGGAAACGTACTGGGAGCCAATGTAGGTCTTTCAGGACTGGTACTATATGGTCTTGGCGGCCGCTCCCAGTCACCAGTCTAGCTGCTGCATTCTGGATTAGTTGTACATTCTGGGTCACCTTCAAAGGTAGCCCCACACAGAACGCATTGCAGTAGTCCAAGTGGGAGATAACTAGAGCATGCACCATTCTGGCGAGACAGTCCACGGGCAGGTAGGGTCTCAGCCTGCAAACCAGATAGAGCTGGTAGACAGCTGCCCTGGACACAGAGTTGACCTGCGCCTCCATGGACAGCTGTGAGTCCAAAATGACTTCTAGCCTGTGTGCCTGGTCCTTCAGGAGCACAGCTACCCCATTCAGGACACGGGAGCCCCCCACACCTGCCCGCCCTCTGTCCCCCCCCCAAAACAGTACTTCTGTCTTGTCAGGATTCAACCTCATTCTGTTAGCCGCCATCCATCCTCCAACCGCCTCCAGACACTCCCCCATGTCACCTTTGCCTACCCCCTCCTCTCCAAAGGGCAAGACGCTGCACCTTCTTCACAAGCTGATGACAAAACAAATGTGGCTACGAAAATATTGGGGGCAGTTTGGCAGAAATGTGACCATTCTCCGATTCTGGCTAAGATATGGATGGAGTTGGGATTCCCTTTGTCTGAAAGTGATCACTGTTCTGAGAGAACACAAACGCAAGGTTTTTGGCCGCACAAATTATCATCCGCCAGCATCACGGGCTAACAGAAAAGGCAGCTAATCAAGAGCTTCCCTTGTTCTGAAGTACCCATCACTTCTAGAATTCCTCAGACTTCAACGCTCTGCTGGTTCATTTGATCATGAATTCCAAAATGGGTATTACCTTCAACACAGTTGGTAGAGAAGAAAGCGATATTTCTAGTCTCCAGTGGATTCTCATTTGTGAAGTCTGGAGACCTGGTCTGGGGCTCCGATTCACCCGTGAGAGATGAGTTGTCCACCTGTGCGAGGAAGCATGTTGTTGAGAAAATGCACAAGAAATTGCACCATTGTGGCAGGCCTGGTTACTCTGCAGGCTGCATCTCGGTCCCTTAAGTCTCACTGCATGCATATACATACCTTACAACCATGAGCTGAAATAATCCTCAGATCAGCCGGGACTCTGTCACCTCCCTTCACCTCCACTAGGTCACCAACAACCACCCCTTCAGCATTGATGCTCATCTTCTCCCCATTTCGGATCACTAGAGCTTGCTGAAAGAAGAAGAAACAACACAACTTTCAACTTTACACCTGCCAACACCCATGCGTTGGATCAGCCCCTTCGCCTACCCGTGTCTTGAGACAGATGTAACAACAACAAAAAGCTGAAGAAGCAGCGCTTACGTACCTGAGGCACCATGTTTTTGAAGGACTCCATGATCTTTGAACTCTTGGCTTCTTGGTAGTAAGAGAAGCAGCCAGTTATGATGACAACAGCAGAAAGAACAACACCAAGGTACAACTGAAAGGAGATGCACACACTGCATTACTTTTAAGCGAGAACCCGTGCTTTTTTTTTGAGTGACAAATCCTTCAATTCCCAAACAGTGGGCCTGGGGTCATAACATTAGTTGTATTCAGCATGGTGGCAAGTCAGTCACTTTGTCAACAGTATGTCTCACCCTGTCCCATAACCCGGATAATAAGGTGATGGCGGAGGAATAAACAAAAAGGAAAAAGGAAAAGAACAAGAGGAAGAAGAAAGCATTTTCCAGATCATAGGAAAAAAGAGACCAGCCACATGATGCAGACTGCCACTGGTAGATCACTTTACAAGAAGTGTTTGAAACAAAGTAGGCCGTAACACCAGTTAAAGCGTTACAAACAACATTGTTAGAAAACAATGGAACTATGAAAGGCAGATATTGGATCAGACATAATGGGAAAACATGCTAATGAACACTAATCAAGAATTTAAAAGCTTACTACAAGCTCCTTCACATGATGGGAATCAATACTTCCAGTTGTGTCTGAATTGGGTCATACGGTTTAGATTCAGGTCAAACCTGCCACGCAGCTTAATGCCATAGTGAAGCCTCCCCAATTCAGATTCATTCTCTCTCTCTCTCTCCCACACACACATTTATTAACTCACATTGTCATTATTTGGTTCTTCCTCTGTCGCTGCTTGAATACCATATGCCAGAAAACAAAGAATAGCTCCAATCCACAGCAGAAGCGAGAAGCCCCCAAATAGCTGCCGGCAGAATTTAACCCATTCTGGGGTGGTGGGAGGCGGAGTGAGCGAGTTGGGGCCATCACGAGCCAAGATCTCTTGGGCCCGGGCAGGAGTCAGACCCTAAACACAGAGGTGGTGGAAGAAGAGACTTATTACAGCATCTCCCCTAAGGAACATCAAAGCAGGCTTTCCATTCCAACTACTGATGGTTTCTGAAATGCAATCGCCGCCGCTGCCAATAGGCGATCTCTCTCTTGCTGGCCTTTCTTAAAAAGATAGCTAGCTTGTTCCCTTATTAGAGATGGATTTGAGAGACTTCGAGAGACTTCCAAGTAGAGCTGTCATCTAATCAATTAACACTTCCTAAATTTGCAAAGGGCAAAACAACTGAAGGAGGCAGAGCATAGTTTGCCTTTAAATGGTTTGCGTATATTTTCATGAGCAGCTAACACGGACCAGCAAAAGTCCTATGGCTTCCAACATTCCAGACCATTAGCCATACTGTCTGGGGCTGGTGACAACACAACTATAGGAAGGCAGCGCTGGCAACCCTGGTATATGCAGGTGCCATATTAAAACAGACATTCCTGTGAGAGTGAAAGGGAAATGCCATTGCCAAGATGGCGCCAGTCACCAGCAGTTTTTTCAATAATTACTGATCCTGGAAGGGTTGTATCCAGCTACATCATACTCAAGAGCAGACTCACTGCTATCAATGGACTAAAATCAGTCATGACTAACTTGTTCATTGATTTCAATGGCCTACTACAAGTGCAGGTGGCAACCATTTTTGGCATGTCCCACTGATGCGCGATTGCTGATGAGCGGGTTCTTTTGGACCAAGAAGAAGGCGGAATGGGGGGGGGGGGTGTAACGAGATGGGTCACACTCTTGCATGCTCTGCCGCTGTGCTTGGGGGCCAGGAAAGCAACCCCTGCGTGAAATGGTCACCACCGGTATGACATAGCCCGATACATTCCAACACTAATACCGTTTTCCCCCCGTGTATAAGACTAGGTTTTTTACAAAAAAGAAAGGGTTTAAAATTGGGGCTCGTCTTATACACAGGTAGTGCTGAGAGGTGTTTTCTTAATTTGGAGTCGCCCCAAAATAGGGGGCGTCTTATACATGGGGGCATCTTATACACAGAAAAATACGGTAACTTTTTAAAAATGAAAGGATGAGCCCCGTTTAATTGCAGGTGGCTTTTTAAAAAGTGAAATTAAAGAGATTAAAGACCACAGCCCTTTAATCAAGCTTGTATTATTCTATCTCCTCCAAGCACGAAACAGCCCCAGAACAATTTTCCAGCATCGTTCAAGAAATCCCATGGCTCTTAAATAAATTTATAGCAGAATGTAAATGGCAGTGAGGCAAACAACTGCTCAATCTCAGAAACCACTCAGGAAATGGGGAGGTAACAACTTCTGAGTGGGACAGTCCAGTGTGGAAAGACTAGGTGCGTTCAAATTGTGGCTAAAACATTAAGCAAGAAGAAATTTCTTTTTCACCAGGAGGGCTCTTTAGAAGGTTATTGCAAACCAGAATTTGTGGGGGGGTTGGGGGGGGGAGCACTCCATAGCTGGCCACCTTACCCGGCTGAGGTCTGTACCATATTTCCGATGAAGTTCATCCAGGCTGAGTTTGTGATCATCCTGCAAAGCAAAGCGAAGATTAGCAAGGCATAGGTGGTGATTTTATTTCACCCAAGAAATTCAGAAATTCTATGCAATGCAATTAACTTATGCAAAACACATTACCCCCAAAATGGTGACGACTGCTTCTAGCTTGGTTTCATATTGAATGGGGTTTATATGTGTTAAGCCTTTGCTAAACAGTACAAGCAGACATTCCAAACTGAAAAAATGGGAGAAGAAGGCAGGGAGGTCATGGTGGGCAGTAGCTTCCAAACTGCTAGTCTAAACTGAGAAGCAAAATAATAATACTAGATTTGACTAGATATTTCTCTCTCTCTTTGGTGGGGATCCTAATGAAAACAGCAGGTTAAAAAAAATCAGAAAAGTGTTTCTCAAACTTGAGTCCCTATCTGTTGTTGGACTACAACTCCCATCATCCCTGCCCACTGGTCCTGCTAGGTAGGCATGATGGGAGTTGTAGTCCAACAACAGATAGGGACCCAAGTTTGAGAAACACTGCTTTAGAAGGACAGAACAAGAAACAGCCCCTTTTAGGTTTGCTTAGCTTGCTATTAGGAAGGCAGCTATTGAGAACGCCTTTGTTAACAACCAATGTGTTTTACAGGCTGAAACCATGTGTGGTTGCTTAGAGGTAAGTCCCACTGAGTTCAGATGAGATCTACTCTCAAGAATGCATGCAAAGGACTGCATAGGACTATCCCGTTGCAGCCACTTGAGAATCCAGCTATGCAACATCCTGGTTTTCCAAAATGCTTCTAGAGTGAAAGGCTAGTGGAGAAGACAATCCAACACAATGAGGGACCCAATCCGTGGTGATGAAGGTGACAAAAAAAGCAACGCTTCACCACCACTGAATATTTAGAAAGCTGTCCAACAAAGCTTTTCTGAGTAGCTTTGCTTGCTCCAGCTTGGGCCCACGGGGAGCAATCCAAGAGCCCCTGGGAGGCCTGCTGTGAGGACTTTGCCAGACATTTCAAAGATAAAATCACTCCTACTGATCAGATCTCAAGTCTTACTGTCTAACAACCATCTGGGGATGTCATTAAAGCATTGTGTCTAATTTGGGGGTGGGGATCTAACTGCTGTTGCTTAAGAATAAATTACTTGGGAGGAATCAGGCTTGCTGCTTGCGTACTCAGCCCTTGTCTACGGTGGACTAAACCTAGGAGAAGAGGACTGACTCTGGATCCAGGAGGTAATTAACGTCTACATGAAAAAGGGAGCAGCCCCAGCAGCCTTTGAGGCGGCGGCAGCAGCACATCTCCTTAAAAACCTTCTTAGGCCTCGGACGACTATGGTACCTGTTGTCCAGTCACTAATAGCCTCTTTTGGGGCTCGGTGCTTGAATAGATGTACCAAAGACGGGGTCTCTTGGGCAACTCATTACTGAACCTCATTCCAGTCTGGCTCCAGACTTGGTTATGGCACAGAAACTTCTCTGGTTCTCCTAACAAGATCTTTGTTGGGAGAAAGACGGCAATCTAACCCTGTTCTTTCTCTATGGGACCAAGGAATGCAAAGGAACACTTTCTCCTATACCACCCCACCTGCTCTGTTAGATTGTCAGCTGAGACTTGAAGTATGTGACAATCAAGTACCTTTCCACTTGTGGCACCCAGTTCATGGAATGCCCTCTAGGGTGACTTGATTAGTATCCATAGTTTTCCCGCCCCACCCCAGGGGACTGGAGAAAACTCCTTATTTTTTCAAACCTTAAAAAAGAAAAAACGCAAATGGTTCCATTTTCCTTATGGCTTTTGTTTTATTCGCCAGTTGCTTTATTATGTGTTTTTACTGTTTGGACATTAATTGTTTACACCATACTGGGACCAATTTTAGTGAAGGGCAGTACAGAAATATTTCAAATAAGTAAATTCACCATAATACTTACTGCATTTGTTTATTTCAGTCAAATGATTCTCAAAGGCAACACGCTGTGATACAGAGAACCCCAAACTCACTTCTCTCTCACACACACCAACACAAACACCCCAACCCTTAGTACACTGGCTGATGTCTGGGGTCAAAGGGCTTTCTCTTTCGCTCTACAGCCCTAAAGCTCCAAATGCCAATTTTCCTTGCCATGATGTTATTCTAGGGAGGCAGCTTCCCTGAGGCCAGCGAGTGTCCTTCCCTTATATTTATATTTCCAAAGGTAAAAAATGGTAAAGGCCCCCTGGACAGTTAAGTCTAGTCAAAGGTGACTATGGGGTTGTGGAGCTCATCTCGCTTTCAGGACAAGGGAGCCGGCATTTGTCCACAGGCATCTTTCCAGGTCATGCGGCCAGCAGGACTAAACCGCTTCTGGCACAACAGGACACCGTGACGGAAACCAGAGCACACGGAAATGCCGTTTACCTTCCTGCTGCAGCGGCACCTATTTAAATACTTGCACTGATGTGCTTTCGAACTGCTAGGTTGGCAGAAGCTGAGACAGAGCAATGGGAGCTCACCCCGTCACAGGGATTCGAACTGCCGACCTTTTGATCAGCAAGCCCAAGAGGCTCAGTGGTTTAGACCACTGTTTAGCGCCACTTCCGTATATTAAAACATATATTATAATTTACAATATACAAGAGAGAGAGAAACTGTATTTCGATGCCAACCAGATTTTTTTTTTTTTTGTAAAGAGGGTTGTGGGAAGAACAGGGCAACTGTCAGAGGAATGAGAGGCTGAAATTTTAGCAAGAGGACAACTTATAGAAGGTTCTGGCACCACAGCAAATAGGCAAAACACTGCGCCTCACGATACTTTTGTTCCCCAAAAATATGATAGCTAGCCAATAAAGCCCAGGAAAGTGAATGAAGCTTGAATCTTATAGCTAAGTTCAGAGCAGGAAACAGGGCACCTAACTGAAATTTAGGAAACCATCTTTGGGAAGTTTGAAAGGCCAACTCTTGCTTCATGAGCTGAGTCACCCACACCTCTACCCCCACATGTCAAAAGGTCCTTACCAGCGAAACTTCCTTTTTCAGTTCATCCATATCCTTCTCCTTCTTCCCCTTTTTCTTCTTGGCTCCATGCTCAGATGTAGCCGCAGGCTCATACTTGTCACGTCCAGTCTGTAAGAAAAGTCAGAAATCATTTGCCTTGCAATGAAACAGTCCACGCAGCTTCGTCATGTCAAATTCTGACCCGCCCCAACGCCCTGAGCAAAGCTCCTTCCCACCTCTGCTGCCAGGCACACCTGAACTGGTGAAATAACGTGCAGCAATTAAATGTGGAACCTGACCAGGGCAGATAAAAAACAATGATTTTTAAAAACATATATTTTTAAAAAATCTTTTTTTCTTTAAATTGGATTTTTAAAATAAAATGCTTTTGGAGGAAAAATATTTCTAAAGATAGCTTTCTATTTAAGTTACATTATAGTCCAAAGGCTATTTATCAGGAAATAAGGACTTGTTTTAAAGTTTTCATGTGTGCTAAAACTCAGTTAATTGTTTAACAACATCAGTTAACAAACATGGATACATATGCTATAATGTTATTGTTTAAGTTAAATAAATTGTTTAAATTGTTATTCAGGAAATGATTATTTTTCTCCTTGCAATAAAGTACAGCAGAAAAGTTGTCCAAATATAAACAGTTAACTTATTAAACCTCACAATAATTTCATAATTATCTGTCAATGTATTTCTAATAGTATAACCAAATCAGTAATTTTTGATATAACTGTAAAAACGACTGAAAATTTTTTATTCCGAAAATGAAACCTTTATCTGGTTGTAAATATTAAGATTATACCAGCAAGAATGAGTCTTTCTGTAAAAAAAAGTAGAATTAAAATCACGTCTTACTGACTAGTGATTTAAATTAAATCCACCCTGAACCTGACAGATACAAAATGCTCTCTACCTTTCAGTTATAGGTCTCTCTATCAAAGAGAAATTCAGACCTGTCTGTAAGAATATTAGAAGCAATTATTGTGGGGACATTTGAATTCTCCCGAGCGCTAAAGCCTATTGAACATAGCTGGATTTACTTCTGAGTGAACCAAATTGCACTGTAGGCAACACAAAAGCAACCATCACAGGGGCCAGGATGGTAACAATGATTTCCACCAGCTGTTTGTGGTGCCCTTTGAGAGGTTTACAATTAGGTACAATAAAAAGCCATTTGCAAATTTAAAATCCAAGTGGCAAGGGCAATGATTAAAAGCCTAAGATTCCACATAAAAACCCTATTTAACTGAATTTTAAAAAGGGAGACAAGCACATCTCTCACGGCAGATATTATTTAACAAATATACTGAGAGAACTCCTGGTCAACGCATCGCACTCACAGGGACTCACTGCGAACTAAAAAAACCCCTCCTATTTAGAAACTACCAGAAACTGAGTAAAAAAGCACAATGGCTAAGGTCTTAGAGGTTCAAAGTGGATTTGCACTAAGACTGAGGTGGTTTATGTCAGAACTGATGGGCCATAGTGATGTCCATCCATCTGTTTGCAGGAGCTGCTGCATCTTTGATATGGGAATGAATTCATCAAGTTAGCTATTGCAAGGATGGAAAACAAAAACAGGCAACCTCCAAGACCATTTGTTTCAGCTCAAGTGGCAGCTGTTCATCTGGAAGCTCAAACCATGATTTATGTTCTGAACTATGGTTAGTACAAAAGGTAAAAGGACCCCTGACCGTTGGGTCCAGTTGTGGATGACTCTGGGGTTGCGGCGCTCATCTCGCTCTATAGGCTGAGGGAGCCGGCGTACAGCTTCCGCGTCATGTGGCCAGCATGACTAAGCCGCTTCTGGCGAACCAGAGCAGCGCACGGAAACGCCGTTTACCTTCCCACCGGAGTGGTACCTATTTATCTGCTTGCACTCTGACGTGCTTTTGAACTGTTAGGTTGGCAGGAGCAGGGACCGAGCAATGGGAGCTCACCCCGTCGCGGGGATTCAAACCGCCGACCTTCTGATCGGCAAGCCCTAGGCTCTGTGGTTTAACCCACAGCGCCACCCGCATCCCTCTTGGTTAGTACAAACCATAGCTTAAATATGGTGCCTGAGTTGAGCCAATGTGAGCATGTTTCTTTTTCACATTGCAGCAAGCCCTCTGTAAGATATGTGCACTTGCATTGTTAGTCACACTACAGGAAACTGAAAACATTCTTTAGAAACACGACAATCTGCATCCCGACTAATTCTGTTAAGAGTGTGGTCGTTTCTAAGAACATCCCATACGAGTCTTATCACAAGTTTAGCACAATCCATCCATTTCATGCTGCCACATCGTGGAACAGTTAGAAAGCTTTTTCCAACGATTTATGGACTGGATAAACAATCTGACCATGTTTGGAGAGAACAATGAGCCAGGATTCCTTGCTTGAGGAATTATGGCTTGCTTAAACCGTAACGGGAACAAGCAGCGTGCAAGTGTGTACAGCCTGTTTGCTCCCACACTCCTCCTTCCTTCACACAAAGGGCAAATCGAAACAGGAATGGTTCCAGTGATCAAGCCAGGGTTTGTAAGCCGACAACAAACTCTGGATAAAGCAAAAAACAACAACAACAAAACAGCCGTCTGCTTTTGTCTTGCAAGAGGGACACTGGCTAGGTTCAGAGACAACATGCCAAATGTCAACGCCAAAGGATGGAGGCTTCTTAACTTAGTTAAGTGGGAAGCTAATGCAATTCTCCTCAACCTCAGTGAACCCTGCTTTTGTACTCAAAATATTCCTCACCGGTATAATGAAGCCTGCATGGGGAACTTTTGCACAGAAACACCTTTTTAATGTCTGGGGGAAAGATGGTGATGCAAAGGGTCATTTCAACTCCTTCACCTCTTGTCCGACAGCGGAGACCCTGCTCCCCAATCTTCCTCCACTTTGGGATACTAGGATGTGCCCATGGAGAATCTCGTTCTACAAATAGAGATTCAATTAATGGTTCCAGTTCCAAGCAAGCAGTTCAAAGGGGAGCCCTTAGAAGCTGGAAGTTTGAACCAGAGATTCAAGCTGCGCTCTTGTGAACACTTGCCTGGGAGTGAACCCTTAGGAACTCCATGGGGCTTCCTGTACATGTATAGGCCTGCAATGTCAATTTGGCACACTGTTGCAATTTTAATTGTTTTAAGCCACCCTGTATTAACCGTGCACATTTATAAGGTAGTAAATATAAATAAATACATCTGGATGCTGTACTTGCTGTCTTGTCTGGCTGGATAAACTAGGCCAAGCTTTTCAATCAAGCTGACAGGAATAAACAGTGATAACCTGTTGATGTTAACTTGGGGGAAGTTTTATGCTTTTTCCACAGCCCCTTTGGAGTTCATACAATTGGCAACATAGCTAAAGGCAAGCAGAGGCCAGAAGGCTACTGACAGAATTACGAGCTCCACATGTTGATTCTCTCAAAGTACCTAAAATCCTATGTAATTAAAGAAGCAAAGAGTATTTTCCTCATACTTTTACAGTGCACTCAGGGCTCTGTTATAAAACTACAGGCTGCTTTTAATAAATGCAATGGAGCTTTATCTGTGCAGAAGATGAAGCTGAGCTGAAAATGCTCAACATACTTCATATTTTCCCTTCTCTTTTTTTAAAAAATGGGGGAGGTGGAAACAGTGAAGTCACTTAGGAAGGAAGGGGGAAAAAACCTGTAGTGCTATTGTCAGAAAAAAACAAAACCCACTTCACCTCTTCCAGTCTCTTTGCTTTAAATAGCATTGAAATGCAAGAAATCTTAGATTAACAGCAGATAAGCCATACCAGAGACTGCTTGACACAGGCTGGCTTTCACTGCCCCTTCCGTTTCCAGCTCAAAAGGAAGTACAGCTTATAAAAATCATAAAGAGGGTACTGAACACAAGCCCAGCTTTATTATTTCCATGCCCTCATTTCAAAAGTGGCTTGCACGCCCCCCCCTGCAATCCAGTTCACATGCCTGGAAAATTCTGGAATCCCCCCCGCACCCCATTTCTTTGTGAATTGCTGAAGTGGACTTAAGTGCTCTGCAGATTACATGCCAGGGCCAGCCAATTCATTCTGTCAGCCTCTCTTGGAGGCAGAGAGCAGAAAGAGCAGAAAGAGCAGAAAGCACACACTTCCTGCTTTGGGTGTGGGTCGTGTGTGTGTGTGTGTGTGTGTGTGTGTGTGTCTGTCTGTCTGTCTGTGTGTGTGTGTGTGTGTGTGTGTGTGTGTCTGTGTGTGTGTGTCTGTGTGTGTGTCTGTGTGTGTGTGTCTGTGTGTGTGTGTGTGTGTGTGTGTGTGTGTGTGTAGCACGGCGATGTCAGAATTTGGGCAATACCAACTTGTTTCCTCTCACCACCCACTCTGATCCACAACAGGTTGGAGTATTGGGCACAATGAGATATAATGAATCAACAAGCTTAAGGCCTCAGAAATCCGCTGGGTTCTGGTAAATCTACAGAACTCCAGGAAGTGCAAACCTGAGCAGAAGAGAGCGGCCAGGATGCTGTAACAGGTCAGGCAGAGGGGCCGTGCATTCATGCAGGTGAGAAAGGGAGACGCAGCCAATACAAAACAACAAGTATCATCCGCTGGTGTTATTCAGATACACAGGGAAAACAAAGCCACAAGGCTAATAATGTTTCCATTTATGATGCAAATAACTACAGCAAAGCATCTTTCCAAACAGTTTGAACAATCGAGTCTCTCAGAACAATCAGCATTTCAACAGGGATGATTTAAGCCACGGATACTGAAGGATGCACTTAGTCATAGTAGATCTGTGAAGTAAACTGAAATATTCTCCTATATACACACATACGATTATGAAATTCTTTCTGCACAAAGTAAAAAATAGTTCTCTGTCAAAGATTATGCTAAGAACTTGAACAGTGGACGGTCGGGTTGTGAACGTGATCTGTGCGGGATGCACGTTCGCAACCCGCATCTGCGCACGCGTGGGTTGCGATTCGGCGCTTCTGCGCATGCATGACCGCCAAAACCCAGAAGTAACCCATTCCGGTACTTCCAGGTTTTGGCAGTCCGTAACCCGCAAAAATGCAACCTGAAGTGGCTGTAACCCGAGGTATGACTGTATTGTTTAAAGCAATACTAAACTGTTTACACTTTTGAAAAAGCTAAATATTGTCGAAACGCCCAATGTTCAGATGTTGCGGTCTTATACGTACTTAGCTGACTGCAAGCCACCATTAATTCAATGGGATTACTTCAGAGTACAGGATTACATTGCAAGTCATGTTGGCTAGATATACAGAAGATGAAATATATAATGAAGAACATTATGCTTAGACATGAGGCGCAGCACAGTGAAGATGCTATGGCTTAAGCCAAGAGTTCTCAGCCTCTCATCTGCAATACAGGCATAAAACTGACCTATTTTAGTGGGTTGGTGTAAGAAGAATTATTAAGTGAAAAACGAGGATACGGGTGCTGCCTTCAGAAAGCAACATTTTTCTTCCTCCCTCCTTTCTGGGCTCTCTTTTGTAAATATGCCAAGAGCTTCTCCATATTTCGGAGCCTTGTGCAACTAGAACTGCTTGTGCCATATCCCAAATGTAAGACAAAGCTGAGGGTTAGACGAGTAGGAGCGCTGCTCTTTTCAATCTGGACAAGATAAAAGCTAGAGTACATAAAACAAAGTCCCTGGGAATCTGCTCTGCTATTATAGTGACATCATTAAAACAGCATCTCAAGGACAGCTGGAGCTACTGTTTCTGTGGCTGCAGCAACAGAACAACGGTTATCTTCCTAAGGCAACTCTCCCCACCACCAATCGCCATCTGGGATAATCAGTGCACCCCACAAGGGAAGTCGGACGCTGGCTGCTCTGGAAAGCCAAAACTGGCTAAGGCAACCAGCCGGCACCCCAATTTCTGATCTATTATTGCTTGAGAATGGCTACTGAAGGGAGTCAGAGAAACAACTGGATACTGGGAATCTGTGCAGAAAAAGGGACTGTGTGTACTACTCAGTATCTTTAAAAAGTCAAGATAAATCACCCACACACTCGACACACAAACAAGTAGAGTGGTACCTCGGTTTAAGAACAGCCCTGTTTACGAACGATTCAGTTTACGAACTCTGCAAAACCGAAAGTAGTGTCCCAGTTTGCGAACTTTACCTCGGTCTAAGAACGGAATTCGAACTGTGGAAGGGCACCGGCGGCAGAAGGCCTAATTAGGGAGAACGCGCCTCGGTTTAGGAACGGTTTTGGTTTAAGTACGGACTTCCAGAACGGATTAAGATTGTAAACTGAGGTACCACTGTATTTGCAGTTTTGGTTGCTTCCCACCCAGGTTTGCAGGCAAGATACGTCAAAGGAGACAGCTATTTCTTTGGCTTAGGGGAGATCCAGTTCTGCTCCTGCACTCCGGGGCGGCCTACTTTTATCAGCTAGAAAGCCTTTTTCAAGAGGAGTGAGCCCACTGCTTAAGGAAGTGGTTCTCAAAGAGAGAGGAAGTGGAGGATGGCAAGTGTGGTGGGAAAATTCAAGGAAAAACAAATAAAAATTTGCCAGGGTTCAGCCAGTATGAAAGCAATGTTGCTACACACTTGTTTTCATCAGTTTGAACGTGAATTGAACTTCTGCACTGAGGCTAGAACTCTATGAACAGGCCAGCGGCTGCCTTCTGAGGAACCTACGCCAACCCACCTCAATGTTTTAGTCATCCAGCAAAGGGAGCATTCAAACTGGATCCAGATGCCCCATCACCCAGTAATGGAAAGTTCACCAGTGGCCTCTCCTTCTCCAACTGCCACAAACAGGGGCCTCTGAAGGACCATATTGCCCTGAGGGGAGTGAGAAGAAGCAGAAACAGCTTCTTCTAAAAAGAACAAAACCCCAACATATTTCTTTTTATTTAAATAGTGCTTATTGGTGTAATGATCTTACATTAACCACTTTGTGAGGTCCTCCTGAAAATCAGTAATATAAACCTTAAATGAACATACAATTTATCTGTGGAAGAAGCAGTATATCTTCCAACCACTAGACAATCCTACCCAATTTGGCTACTATGCCTAGTCCACACTTAAAATTGATCTCCAACTTTGCTTCTTCTTAGACTAACCATATTTTGCTTTGCTTTATATCTCTACCTTGTAGGGGATCATAATCTCCATTAGTGCTAGAAATAGATCTGAATAAATGCTGGCTTTTGTATTTCACAGAGCTGTCATCCCATCTTTGTTTCCATATCCTTTTGGGAAAACTCAAGATCTATTGTGCTAGGCACAAACATAGTCAGTCCACAAAGAGCTTCCTGAACTTCAGGGCTGCCATTTACTGTACACAGGACTTGAGCCAAACCCCTTTTTTCTCTTTTACCGTTCAGCCAATGGAAGAGTTCTGTGAAACTCAAAGAATAGCTCACTACTTATATATACATTTCAGCTGGTCCCAATACTGCTCTGTTTGCACCCATCTCTAAACAGTGTCTCCCTTTATGGCATTTTCAGACATGAGGATGTTGACAGCAGCCAGGCCAGTAGTATAAATGCAGAACTACAACTCCGTTTCTGTCAATTCATTCAAGGAGTTCCAGAACTGGATCCCGGAAAAACAATCAGACGACAACTGCCTCTCTCACCTGACCATTTCAGGGAAAGACAGGTAAGTTGCTCTCTCGCTTCAAGTCTTGCATTCCTTATATGGGGCATTATTGCCGGGATGAACCAAGCCAATGTACCATTTCCAAGACAAGGGATGGACTCCTCCAAGGAGCATACATAGCTAACAAGAGGCTGGCTTGATCTGAATGGAATACTGGGGCATGAGGATAAAATAATTATGCCCTGATTGACAGCTATACCACAATCTGCGCCCTCCCCAGCCGTCGTCTTGCTTGTTCCCTCACCCTGGAAAACATGAGGCCAAGCCCATGTGCCTGGCATGACCGCCTCCCTTTTCCTGGGATTTTCCATCCCTAACTAATCCACCAAGTCTTCAGTCTGGTATATTTCAAGGAGTTATTTCAATCCTGTTGTATTTCAAGTAATATTCAAGCAGTGGCCATGCTGGGGGAGGAAATCTGCCACCAGTTGGGAAAGCTCACTGTGACATGTTTAGTCCTGGAACTGAGGAAAGAGGCGGATCTCCCCCTCTTCTCCTCCCTTGAAGGTCTTAGATACACACACCATTTCTTACATATCAGTCATGCCGTTTATTTCAGTTGGAAGCTTTTCCATGCACAGGTTTTCTCAAGTCAACTCACTGGCTCACCTGCTTGAAGAGGACCTCTCTCAGAAGCCATCCTGAGAACCTGCTCCCCTCCTACTAGTCTTACCATTCTGAACTTTGGAGCACACAGGAGCTGTGCAAGAGACTTGCTGCTTTTGCCTATTCCAAATTTCAGCATGATGAAAGACATCTTCTTCCTGTCCTCAAAAATTATCTCGCAGGCACAGTGCCCTTGGGGAGTCACTGGTGCCCATCTTACAGACTGGCTAATAAAGCCAATTCAAGATGGGTTCCGGAGTGAGTCACAGTCATGATTATTTATTACATTTCTATCCTGTCATTCCTCCCAGAGGAGCCGAAACGGCATATTTAGCAGATCATAGTCATTGGCCGTAAGCCTCTGTGCACAGCAAGCTTTAGTTGCAACTGGTGGCACAGCCCAGCAACTGTTGTATTTCTCTGTGCAGAAATGGAAAACCACCTGCATGTTGCTACACAAGGGAACAATTAACTGGATTCAGAATTGTAGAGCTGGAAGGGACCATGAGGATCATCTAGTCCAACCCCTGCAATGTAAGAAACTTTTGCCCACCATGGGGCTTGAACCCATGACCTTGAGATTACGAGTTTCATGCTCTACCTACTGAGCTATCCCTCAGTCTATAGCAAGTATATGAATGCTTCTCATGAAATATATATTTACTTGTTCCAAGCATTTTCACTTCATTAATTTTTTTTAAATTTAAGTACAAGAGTTATAAACATACACACATTTTGCTCCTACCTATTCAGGTTCCTGAAAGTAAACAAAGTCCAAAATGGGCCAAGAACATCAACTCCCAAATCCACAACTGCCTAAGCTCAGAATCCAAAACAATCTAGGGTCACAAGGAAATCAATTATTGTGGGTGCTCAAATTATTGCTCCCACCTTTTGCTATCGCAGCTCTGGTTAGAGCCAAAATGCATTCCGTTGTGGAAGGGAACCCAACTGCGAGACTGTGCACGGTTTTTGAAGGTCAGCATTGGAAAGGGGGAAAGAGCAATTTTGTGAGTTCCTGGTACGTGGGGAAGGAAAACGGTAGCAGTACAGTAAATTTCCACACTGGCGTGTCATGAATCCCATAAAAATGCTCATGACATCCACACGATTATAGAAGTGATAACCAGTCTCATCACTCCAGGGGTTGCAGGGTTTGGGGGGTGTTTCTGGACTGCTCAACACCCCAGCTTTAATCTCAGATAATATTACTGGTGCAATATAATACAAATCCAAAGCCTTTTGAGACAATAAAAATTCTCAGAAGAAGTCAGCAGACCTTGATGGGGCAATGGAAAAATTTGCCCTCTCCTCCTGACAAGATCCGTAGCTCGGATAGTACAGAAGGCTTTAGGAGAGCCCTAAAGTTCTGGAAATTAAAAGGAAACACACACTGTGGACATTGGCAAAACTCTTTAATCACTGTTTTACTCTGAATTTTGCTCCATAAGCATAAATTTGAAGGATTAAACGGGATCTTAAAATGTGAATGCTTTCTGACTTTTAAAAAATGATTTTTCCGTTTCATGCATAAATGCCACAAATAACAAAAAAACTCAGATCCCTTCAGGATATCCATGTTTGGTGTGGATAAAGGGATACATTAGTACAAAGCAACTGCAGTTCCCCCAGTACTGGATAGTTCATCTCTACATATATCCAGCAATGGAGAAGCAACAGCCGACCTGGGAACTTCACGCAGTTCTTAAACCGAAAATGGCGTCCGGAAGAATAAAATGTGTGCAGGCTAATAGACACAACTGCAGTTGGAATAGAGAGCCCCTGTTAACATCCACAGTAATACTCTAGAGTGTAAGCAAGTTAAATCTTGAAGCTATACTAGAATCTCCGGTTACATAAACACCGAATCCAAAGGTATACCCTGCTCAAAAAAGTAACAAAACAGGTTCAAGTAATTTTCCATTTTTCTTGTGTTGAAATATCAGAGTCACTGTGAATGGTGTGGAAGGGTGTTTTGTTTTTTTACCTCCGACTCTTCTGAATCTGAGATTCCTCTGTGGTTTGCTTAATGAAGCCAGTGCTAACAAGGAGAATTCCCAGACTGCAGAATCTCAGCTTTGTTTGCTTTAACATAGCGAAGGCAAAAAACAGACAGCGCTCAATCAAAGCTATTTTTCCTGTTTTTGGCAATTAAGGTTGCAACTCCATGGCTGCAAATGGCACTGAACTGAACGAGTCGTTACTGGTCAAAGCCAGTTCAGACCAATGCTTGCCACCAGCACCCCCATCTTAAAACTAGTTTGTATTGGGAGACGGCCAGCATACATCCAGGACTGTAGAGCGAGCCGCAGAACAGCTTGCGACTCTGCTACGAATTTTACAGACAAACCTCTGCACTGTGATCTCCCTAGTCGTTTACCCTCAGCTACCTTTGCTGCAAGAAAACAGGAGAACCATCAGGTGTGCTCACTACCTCAACCATGCAGTTCACATACTTTCAAGAGAGCGGGACTGGCTGGAGGGCACAAGAGGGAAGAAAAGGCAGAACACCCCAATGAACTCTAAGAATTGCTTCTGGAGTTAAACATGTTCAGGGTTGTACTAGAAAGGGCAAGAAGGCTGAAGCCTCAAGCAAACAGGCTATAGATTGCAGTTATAGGATTCCTGCATTGCAAGGGGGGGGGCGTGCAAAAGATGACCCTCAGGACCTTTTCCAACTCTACATTTCTATGAAAAGCAACGCAAAATATTCCCTGTCTACGAAAAAAAAAGCCAGTGCGAAGCCAAGTGATGTGATCATCCTTTACATCCAGCAAGAAAAGGGAAGTCACTAGGGAGGAGTTCAGCTAAATGAATGGCATGGCTGTCTGGGGCACTAAACGAAAGCTACCCAAAGGCAACGAAATACTACACACGATGTGCTAATGGTACAGACTACCAAGAGCAATGCAAACTTTACTGCCCCACTGCATCAAGCTGTAGGATCTTGTCACTCAGATGTTTCCACAATTAGGCAACGGCCTCTCCTGTTTCTACTTGTCCCGCCCGCTTAATTAGCCTTCTTAATTAACCATCCTGCAAAACTTGGACCCTGAGGCCTCTACAGAAGTACAGTTAAGGAAAACCACTATGCTTTCAAATTGAGCACATGAAAGGTATTTCAACTTGAGACGGGGGCGCTGTCACATTAGGCCTTGGGTTCAAGCCCCTTATTCAGCCATTAAGGCTCATTGGGTGACGTGGGGCAAATCCCACCTTTCTTCCTAACCTGCCTTGCAGGCCCAGGGCAGCAAGGGTAGAACTTAAATCCCTGGAGAAAAGGCAGAATAAGCTTTTTGTATAATACACACGTAATCAAACCGGAGACTTTCAGGCCTAAATCGACCAGGGCTCATCACCCCGGTCTTCCATTTCTAGCTGTTTTTCTAGGCACGGCCTCTAAAAAGAAAAACCTGCCAGACTTTGGAAAGTTTTTCGTAGATATTCACAGGAAAGCACTACAGTCCTGGGAAGGTCAACATGATTTCCAAGCCGGAGGGACCTGGGGCCACTTCCACTTTCTGTCATGGCGACAGCCTCTCTCTCTCTCCCATGACTGGACCTCCTGCCCCAAAGTGGTTGCCCAATATTGAAAAAGCCAGCCAGCTGGAGCCCGGACCATTTTTGAATTCCTGCCGGCAAGTCCCTTCCCTTCCCGAATCTGGTCTAAGCTGGTGCAGAGAGAGGCACGTCCAAGCTACAGGAAAACAGAAAGATAACATCATGTCTGCCCCAGCCCGCCTCCTATCAGCCCTTTTCACCTGAAGCGCTGATAACCCATTTTGTAACTCTGCAATTGCGAAGAAAATGGCTCCCTTCTCCCTCCAGGCAGCCAGCCCAGGGGCCTTTCTTCTCTTTCTTCTCTTCCTTCTGAAGAGCAGCAGGTGAGCTGCAGGTTCAAAAGCCTTGCTCTGCCTCTGCAGTCGGGCTTCCCACTGAAACTCCCCTTCGGCTGCCGGCTCTTTCTGCAGCTCCTGAACTCAGCACCTGCCAGCCCAGAAGACGGAAAGCCAAAGGCCAGGCCGGGAAGCGGGGCGGAGGAGAGGACGGAGGGGCGGCCTCCGGGTCCCAATCCGGCCGGGCCAGAGAAGAGCCCCCAAGGCGAGCTAAGCGGCAAAGCAGGAGAGCGGGAGCCCCAGGGGGGCTGCAAAGGAGGTGGGGGGCTGTTTGGGGACAGAGCAGGGACACCAGATGCGCTCTCCTTCCTTGGATCATGGATGAGCCTGGCTTCTAAAAACCCAATAAAGTGATCCCCGAACGAAAAACGAGGCAGCAGAATTCGGAAGTCTTCCTATTTGGGGAGCAGAGCGAGAAGCCTCTTTCCGCGCCGGGGGCAAGTTCTTCTTTCTCGCCCGCCCGCCCTCCCGAGTCGCCCCCCGGCCGGATGCCCAGCGCCCTGCCCGCCTCGCCGCCCCGCAGAAAGAGCCTCGCGGCGCGCCCGGCTCCGGCTCCCTCCCCGCTCCACGGAGAGCGGGCGGCGGGAGGGCTTGGCTGGGCAGCCCGGGGCTCGAGGCGGGGGCGGCGGCGGCGGGACCCCCTTCCCTCCCTCGCTCCCTCCTTCCCCGGCTGGCTCACTCACCCCTCTGCCCATGGCGGCGGCGGCGCGGTGCCACGTGTGCGCTGGCTGGCTGGCTGGCTGCTCTGGCGCTGCTTCGGGTCTCCTCCGCTTGCGCTGCGCCGACCAAGCTCCGCCAGCCGCGCTCAGGCCGAGTGGGCGAGGCGCCTCTTCCGCGCCAGCTAAAGCCCCGCGCCCGCCCGCGCCCCGCCCCGCCCCGCCTCCGCCTCCGCCGGGGCCGGGAAGGGGCGGAGAGAGAGGGCGGCCCGGCGGGGAAAAGGCCGGAGGCTCCTCGGCGCCCGACGCCGCTTCTCCCTCTGCCGCCGCCGCCGCCCCCGCCGGGTCCGGGCTGCTAGGTACCAACTGGGCCGGGGCAACTGGGGGCTAAGGAGAGGGGCACCTCGGGTTAAGAACTGAATTCGCTCCGGAGGCCCGTTCTGAACCCGAAGCACCACTTTAGCTAATGGGGCCTCCTCCTGCTGCCGCCGCCGCGCGATTTCTGTTCTCATCCTGAAGCAAAGTTCTTAACCTGAGGTAATATTTCTGGGTTAGCGGAGTCTGTCACCTGAAGCTTCTGTAACCCGAGGTACCACTGTATAGTTATTTAACCTCCTTCACCCTTGAGCCTAAATATACAGTGGTACCTCAGGTTACATACACTTCAGGTTACAGACGCTTCAGGTTACAGACTCCGCTAACCCAGAAATATTACCTTGGGTCAAGAACGTCGCTTCGGGATGAGAACAGAAATCGTGTTCCGGCGACGCGGCAGCAGCAGCAGGAGGCCCCGTTAGCTAAAGTGGTGCTTCAGGTTACGAACGGACCTCCGGAACGAATTCAGTTCTTAACCCGAGGTGCCACTGTAGTTCTGTGGATGTGGGCAGACACATCCAGCCCGGCCGAACTGGCTTTGGGAGCGGCTGCCCGGCTCAAAGACCGTTCGCTTTTCTGGAAGAGAGCCAAACTGGGCCGGCCGGCCGGCAGCTCCGATGGCCCTTGGTGGTTCTGATCTGATGATTCTTCTTGCACAAATGTTACAAGATTGGGGAGCCCTCTAAATGGTGGGGGGTGCGGGGTGGGGGGGTGAAGTCAAACCTCTGCATGGCTGCCCCGAAGTGGCCTCCCCGATGCCCAGGCCTGGGCAGAGTGTCTGGAGGTCCGGGGCTGCCCCCTTGGCCTCCCTGATGTGGTCCAAAGGAAAGCACAGCAATATGTTTGGCGCCAGCTTGGCGGCAGGAGTTGCCAGATGGAAGCCTAGAAGGCACCACCCAACTGTCTTAGGGACTCCGCTCCAGATTGGTGTTGGGTTTACTCAACCTTTTTTTTCTCCAAAGGTATCCCACCAGGCAGCCGAGGCGGCTTAGGATCAGAGTTTTCCTTCTCCCACGTTGGCTCCCTTCCCAGGTGGATGAGCCCCATCTGTCCCTCACTTCCCCCTACAGTACGTGCAGAAACCACGTTATTGACTGTTGAACCCGCTGTTGTTCTTGGCCGCTCAGTCTGCCAGAGCCAGGGATTGAGACCCATCAACTACCCTCACCTGGCTTAGCAGGTCAGTCAAAGCTGTTTCCCAGGGTGTCGCCGCAGTCACATGCTGGCAGCTTTTTGGAGCCACAGGTGGGAGCTGAGTGCAGGGTGGGGACGAAAGGTGGACAACCTACCCCAGATGGAGCATGACGTGTCTTCCACCAGAGGTGCTACCCCTCCCCAATCACCCCATACATCCTCCTAACCCTAGAAATACTGTGATAATATCAGCATGGCACTGGTGATGCCTTTTAGTGATCAGGTGAGGAGACTGGGGACGCCACTGGAGCGGGCCTTGCTTCTTGAGGGGATGGGTGGAATCGCTGGGAAAAAACAGAAACCCAAAGTAACCTGCAGGAGAAAAAATAAAATTGCTCACAAGGTTCTCAGGAAATGGGCAGCAAAAAATTCTTTTCTTGGTTGGTTGAAGATTGAAATAAAGGCACAAGGGATGTTGAGAGAGAGAAAGCAAAGAAGCCCAGCTGGTTTTGATTAGCCGCGGGCATCTGCAACTGCTTCAAAAAGCAGAAGACAGCTAGTGAGCCCCAAACAGACCCTGAAAACAAACTGCTTCATCAGACATCCTGCAAGCAGCACCCACTGTGCCTGCCTGAAAAGGGAAGGAAAATATCCAGGTAAGGCATGAGAACGTCCCAACCGAAAATAATGAGGCCGCTACCCTTACTGTACAGCCTGAACAGCGGGGAAACCTGGATATCGATGGGGGTGTACAGTGGTACCTCGGGTTACATACGCTTCAGGTTACAGACTCCTCTAACCCAGAAATAGTACCTCGGGTTAAGAACTTTGCTTCAGGATGAGAACAGAAACCGTGCTCCAGCGGCGCGGCAGCAGCAGGAGGCCTCATTAGCTAAAGTGGTGCTTCAGGTTAAGAACAGTTTCAGGTTAAGAACGGACCTCCGGAACAAATTAGGTTCTTAACCCGAGGTACCACTGTCATTTCATCAGCTTGCATGCTAGATGCCATTTTGGATCAAGATGGAGGACCAAAACATGACTTTGACAGGAATTCACCTGGTATTTGGTGTCATGGGTTCAAACTCACAAATGACAGTATCCATTTAAAAATCACAATATTTGTTGGTTTCTAAAAATTGACAGGATGAATCTGTTCCTTGGTACGAGTTGTGGGCAAAAATATATATACCAAAGAAATACACCTGTCACTGTGTGACATATTCAACTGAACTATTCCTTGCTATTAAAATGGCCATTCTTACAGCACTTTCCCTCCAAGTTACAATGAACACAACAGAATGATCCTTGAGCACTTTGAGCAGAGTGAAGATCTGGTGATGCCCAAGGGCAAGTGAAGTTTGCTTGTTGGACTGCTGTGGAATGAATCAATTTATTTCGGTCACTGACCAGAGTGTGGGCTGTTCTTTGTTGAGTGTCAATACAGAAAAGTTGAAGACCTTTCCCAAGGAAACTTTTATGAAGAGGTGTTGACCATTTTGGCTAAGACCTTTGAAAGACTCCAGTTTGTGTCTAAAGAATGATCTGTTTTGTAATATATTTTCCTTTGTGTTATAGACAGACAAGCATGAACGGAAAAAAAGTCTGACTGGTTTCAGACCTTATGACTGGCATTCACCACAGCCAAGGTAGATTCTGCGTAAAATATTTTTAATTTACGAATTTATAATTTGATTTAGAGTCCTACAGTATTGTTGAAGTTGCATATCTTTCTGTTAGTATTAAATGGACAAATCAATCAATCTGTTAGAAGATAGTTCTGAAACGCATAATCCCTGACAAATTTATTATAGCATAAATTTTCAGGGGCTATGGTCCGCTTCATATCCCTCTTGACTTCGTTAACATATATATATATATATGTTGCAGGAAATATATATATTGCAGGAAATTGTTCAAGGAGAAAGCTATGCAATGTCTATCAAGAAAGTATTTTGGAATAAATTTGGAGAAAAGTGCTGGCAAACGTAGCACAGGTTTGATTAGGGTTGTCCAGAATTTCCCAGACATATCCAGAATACTGTAGTCGGAAGCGGTGTCCAGGTGGAAATAGCTAAAATGTCCAGGAAAATCCAGATGTATGGCAACACATGTCAGCAGGGTCGTTTTTGGCAACTTTCCTTTAAAACTCTTTTTGTGTGCTCGGCAACTTTGGGCAAAAGTAAAAAAAACACACACAACTGAACAACTTTGCCCAAAAATGCTCAACAACTTTTCTGTCCGGATTTTCACTGTTTGAAATATGACAACCCTAGGTTTGATAAACTAATTTAAGCTACCAGAATGGAGTCTGTTACACAAAAGATACAGGTAAATTTCCAGGATGAGCAGGGCTGTTGCAGTGGAAGGAACCAGAAGGAAGGAACAGGAACATCAGCTTGTGGGTTGTCTGTACATGAGAGGGGTGCTGTCGTCGTTGCCTGTGTGTTATTCGAACGGGAATAGTGTTGCTTGTGTATGCATGTGCTGCTGTCTGTATGAAAGCTGGGGAAGGATGCATGTATGGGACCGAAAGGAGAGGGATTGTGGGGAGGGGGCTAAGGGAGATTTCCGTTGTAGTAGCATGTGGTTTGGCTCACTTAGATGATCTGCACTCTTGTGTTTTACGATCCCTGCGGTCTCTCTCAACAATAGGCCACATTCCAGAGTTTCGATAAGACACTGTCTCATCTTTTAGCCTGTCCCCTGGAGTAATATTTAGAAAAGAACAATGGGCTGCATTATATATTCACTACACTTGGACCACTGGACAAGCGATAAAGATAATAATTAAAACATTGCTGTAATGGTTACAGAGATAATATGTGAGATGTACCGCAGAGCTACAATTAAGTCTGCTGACCCCCCCATCCTGAGATGGATCATGGAATTAGGCAGATTGTCTTTAAGAACAAAACACAAATACATTATACAATCACAACCCCTCCAGTTTAAGATTCTTCTTTTAAAAAAAATAGAATCGTTTTTATTTTATTTTTTCAGAGCACAGAGAAAATCAAAAGACAAAACAGGTGAACTCTGCTTTGAGAGTGAGGTCGTGTGGCAGCTCTGCTCATTGAGAGGTCGCCAGGGTCGGGGAGAGAAAGAGCAGCCGTCGGGATGTGGTACGAGATCTTGCCTAGCTTGGGCCTCATGTACGTGTGCCTGGTCATCCCTGGCGTGAGCACCGCCTACATCCACAGGTACACCAACGGGGGCAAGGAGAAGAGAATTGCTCGGAACACCTATCAGTGGTACCTGCTGGAGAGAGACAGGCGTGTGTCTGGAGTAAATTGCCACTATGACTCCAAGGGTTTGGAGAACATTAAGTGAAACCACAGTGCAGTGAAAGCAACTTAATAAACATGCATTTGACAAAGTGTGGAGCATATTGATCGTAATCTCGAGAGGACAGTAAAATTCTAATACTGCACCAATAAAATTGCAATGAAGAAATGAAATACAAAAAAAGGAGAAAACAGGCATCTGTCATACAGGTAAAAAACATCAAAACACAACAGTAGGGAAGTGAGATTACATCAAAATTGCTAGCTAGATCGGGGTCAGCAAACTTTTTCAGCAGGGGCCGGTCCACTGTCCCTCAGACCTTGGGGGGGGGGGCAGACTATATTGGGGGAAAAAATGAATGAATTCCTATCCCCACAAATAACCCAGAGATGCATTTTAAATAAAAGCACACATTCTACTCATGTAAAAACATGAAGATTCCTGGACCGTCCGCGGGCTGGATTTAGAAGGCAATTGGACCGGATCCAGCCCCCAGGCCTTAGTTTGCCTACCTATGAGCTAGATCATAGACAGATCCAGAGTTCCATATTTCAAGGGGAGCTGCTGAACGTTGTTGCAAGTGGTGTTGGTTGGCATGTGCAGTAAAGTTCCACTGTAGAGCTGGACCCGCCCTGGGTGGCGGAGGCCAGATCTGCTGCTGCCCCTGTAGATTGTGCTGCCTGAGGCAGTCGGCTGGGTGCTGGCCTGCCATGCGGTGTGAAAAGTGTCAGGTTTAGCAGTCCCGGCAGAACTCGAAGATGACATATTTATAGAAATGGCCATAACCCAAATGTGTTAATGCCATATTCAGAGGTCCAAGCCTTCTAAAAGTTTTCCTCTTCTGTACAATGGTTAATTGAGCAGTTACTATTTTTTTAAAAATTAGAAGATCTTTAAATAATACATCAACGTTGTTTCCTTTGAAAATGGAGAGAAGGGCCAGTTGTGATGACATTTCATTTTGTCCTCGTATGATGATTGCAATTTCTTTAAATGCTATGGACCAGAATTCACCAACCCTGGAACATTCCCGTCATAAGGGAAAGTGGGTATTGTGGCCTCCACAGCTGCACCAATGATCAGGTCACATTAGATATGAATACAAGAGATTTGAACTGCTGTTCTGTTCCATCTATGGCATGGGCATAGCCAAGGGGCGACGGGGGCAGCTGCTCCCCCCTAAATCAATAAAAATCTAGTTTCTCCTCCCACCTCACCCCCCAACAAAAGCCTGCCTCCCCTTACAAAAATCCTGGCTATGCCCATGATCTATGGCAAAAATAATAATAATGTGATTTCCCTGGCATGAGCAGAAATAGATTTCATCTGTTTATCTCACTGTATTTTTCCTATTCCTTAACCTCCGGGTGTCCTGCAGCTTCTTCCCACGCAGATTTCAGCCCTGTGAATGGTCACAGGACAGTGCATGTTTTGTGAACTGCCCTGAGCTCTTCAGATGAAGGGTGGTATATAAATTTAATAAATAATGGTGACAATGTTTTTCAAAATAACTTTTACACTTGTTTTGTTAAATCAGGTTGCTTTGGCAAATTAAGTACAAAGCATAAATCTTGTTAGAGTTTACACACACACACACAGAGAGAGAGAGAGAGAGAGAGAGAGAGAGAGAGAGAGCGCTTTTAATATTTTATATAGAGAAACAGAATATAAATAGATTGAAGAAATAAAAAAGGAAATAAAGACCAGGAGGCTTCATGGAAGACAATAAAGGAAATGTGTTTAATCAGATGAGTAATTGGTGTGTGGGACTCTGGTACACATCTACTGCCGCAATCTCTATTGTCTGTTCTGCTAGGTCACATTGGCCATCAGAGTTTGAAGCTCCCAATAAACTAGAGAAATAATGAAACAGTCCAGAAATATTACTTTTGTTTCCTTCCTGTTGCTTCACCATTCGTTTGAAGATCTTCTATATTTAAAAATCTATGTTGCACCAAAGTCAGGCAGCAGAAGTACTGAAGCTGAAATGAGATCCAATGAATAATCTATATGAATTAGGTTCAAAGGCAATAAAAATGTTTGTCTTTTTCAAAGGGTAATTTGCTTATGGAAGACACAGAAAACAAAAAAGTGATTATGTGTAACTGGATTGCCATTGACATTCCAGCTGTTAATTATGGCTCTCACACCCTCTGCTGGCTTGTTTTGTGGTTTTAATGAGATCACCGGAAGAAAAGAGCCTCTGATTCCATTAAAGGGGAACTATTTTGTCATACTGTTTCAAAGCAATGTGAAACCACCCGGGAAAGCAAAAGAAAGAAATATGCAGTAGTGGAAGTGGGTAAATACAAACAGACAGGTATTAAGTACCAGGAAATAACATTCCACTATTTCTAAGTCGAAATTAAAAAATTGTCCAGTAGCACCTTAGAGACCAACTAAGTTTGTTCTGGGTCTAAGCTTTCGTGTGCATGCACACTTCTTCAGATACGCTGAAACAGAAGTCGTCAGACCCTTATATATAGCGGGAGGGTGGGGAGGGGTTTTTCTCAGAAGGGTAGTAGGAGATGGGGGATTGACTCAATGGCAATGGTAAACCTATTGACGACTGTTAACGACTGCAATTAGTCCTACAGGAGAAAGCAAGGGATAGTGTGCAGATGACCAGAAATAGTTTTACCATAGGTAATGAGACAAGAATCCAATATCTCTATTCAGACCAGGTCTCGCCATAGTTTTCAGTTTAGTAAGAAGTTGTAATTCAGCAAGTTCTCTTTCAAGTCTATTTCTGAAATTCTTTTGTAATAAGACAGCTGCTTTGAGATCCTGTATTGAATGTCCTGGGAGATTGAAGAGTTCTCCTACTGGATTCTCTGTCCTGTGAGGTTATTTCTAAGGTTAGGTTGCCAACTTCTGAATCGACTCACATAGCTTCCCCATTGACAGCAGTTTCGCTCACAATGATAATGCTGGACTCTGTGCCGGGAAATTCCCTTAACTTAATGATTTTGGCAAAACTGTTTGTGGGATAATTGAGCCTCATATGCTTAACTCCAGTTAATGCATGAAGGGGTTAAGACCACAGAGTAAGCAGTCATCCCAGACTGATCCAGGTCACGCCCCCTCACCTTGGGACAAGAGTTAGCAAAGCTCTTTGTTCATTCTCTTTTCCACTAGGTAATCAAGGAGCAATCAGCCTAGATGGCCGCATGGCTTTAGCAAAGCCATTTTTGTGTTTCTATACAAAAAAATTAAAATCATTCTGTCTACCATGTGAACTCCATGTGTGGAAAAGTTCCGAACCTGATTGCTCCAGGCTCAGACTGTGTGCATGGCTTACAAGTCATTTTTGTGTTTCTAGACCAATAATTTATGAACATTTTACCAATTTTTGTAAGCTAAGTTTTGCTACCTGTGTTTTCTTGCTGCTGCATGGAAAAACACATGAATCTGACCTTTGTAAGTAAATTAAGTCTTTAACTTGCCAAATGTGCTCTTTCAATGCTAAGGGAAATAAAGGGAAACATTGGAAAGGAACTTAAAAGGGGATATTTTAAGGGTCTAACAGACTATATTTCACACTTGTGTTTTGTTATTCCACGCTACCTGTTTTGTGATTTTAAATCTCTGCTGGGTCTCTCTCACCAAAGAGTCCTTGTCCCAAACCTAGGTCTAGGCATCCTGGAAATTATTATTTTATTCTTTAACCAAACACTTAAAAAAACAACCCCACACTCTTAAAGGTCCAGAAGGAGGAAAGACTGGTTTGTGTTTTGTTTGTTTGTTTGTTTGTTTGTTTGTTTGTTTGTTTAGCCAGGTGGCAACTCTTGCTTTCACCTGAGACAGCTGCAGCACCACCATCCTGGGACTCCTTAAGACCAAGGGCTCGGCCACACTTCTGTGTTTGATTCTGGTCCTGCTTACTTCTTTTTCTGAAATAACTGTAGCCAGCAGGACTCTTAATGAAAAAGAGCGGCCCTTTGTCAGGCTGGGGAATCAGATCCCTCCCACGGTGGCAGCCCAGAATCAGAGAAACGATAAAACTTCTTACCAAGCAATTTATTCAATGATTTACAGAGAACAATGAAGGAATGCAGCCTTCCTAATCATGGTGTTGCTCCAAGGAAAGTCCCACCCCCTACGGCCCCCTTATCCCTCCTGCATCGGTTAATCTGAGCTTTCTGCCTCTGAGCTCTCTGTTCTAATACCCTCAATGCCCGTCTGGTTGGGGGGGGGGTCAGGAATGCTTTCCAAGGACCCTGAATCTGTCAGCTGCCTCTCCCCTGGTGCTTCTCCTTCCTGCTGTTCCTCTTTCAGTATTTCCCAGCTTCTGCCCTCTGCAGCCTCTCAACTATGCCCTTCTGCAAACCACTGTTCTAAATCTATTTGTTGTTGTTGAGTTGTTTAGTCGTGTCCGACTCTTCGTGACCCCCTGGACCAGAGCACGCCAGGCACTCCTGTCTTCCACTGCCTTCCTCATGCTGCTAGCTTCAAGAACACTGTCCCACCATCTCGTCCTCTGTCGTCCCCTTCTCCTTGTGCCCTCCATCTTTCCCAACATCAGGGTCTTTTCCAGGGAGTCTTCTCTTCTCACGAGGTGGCCAAAGTCTTGGAGCCTCAGCTTCAGGATCTGTCCTTCCAGTGAGCACTCAGGGCTGATTTCCTTGAGAATGGAGAGGTTTGGTCTTCTTGCAGTCCATGGGACTCTCAAGAGTCTCCTCCAGCACCAGAATTCAAAAGCATCCATTCTTCGGCGATCAGCCTTCTTTATGGTCCAGCTCTCACTTCCATACATCACTACTGGGAAAACCATAGTTTTAACTAGACGGACCTTTGTTGGCAAGGTGATGTCTCTGTTTTTTAGGATGCTATCTAGGTTTGTCATTGCTTTTCTCCCAAGAAGCAGGCGTCTTTTAATTTCGTGGCTGCTGTCACCATCTGCAGTAATCTATACTGTCCTCCTGTTTTTGGTTCAGGAGAAGTGGGGCAGCCCCCACCATTCCTCTTCAGTCCAGTTCCTGATATCCGTGGGGCATTGCAATAGGATGGAGCAAAGCAGAGTGGCAGTGAGGCCTGGCAGCAAAGGCACACTAGTGTGGGCAATCTGGTCTCCTGCCTCTACGCCCGCCCAACTCCTGCCCTGCCCTGGTAAGCAGAAGTGATGCCACTTCTGGGCGCCTGGCTTCCTAGTGGCACCCCGTCAGCTGCTCTTGCCTTGAGCAGCCAATGTCCTGCTCCTGCTGGCCGCAGTTGCCCTTGTCCTTTTTCTAAAACTATTGTTGTCAGCCTGGCTCTCGCGGCACGAGTGGCTCAGGGGGCGCCCGGGCTCCTGCCAGGAGCGGTGTCACTGCCATTTCCCAGGACGGGCAAGAGTGGCAGGGAGCTCATGCCAACGCAGGTGCACGGCTGGAGCAAATCCCTTGCTCCTGCTGGGGTTTAGGAATTAGGTTTATTCTGCTTTACGGTTATTGTAGCGCATAATAGCCTCTGACTCAGTAATAATAAATTCTGTCTTGATCCTCTCCAATTAAGTAAAATACTAGTGTCCTGTGCTGAATCATAGATTCAAGATGCCAACAGCACTTTAATTTTCTAAATTATTGTACTCCATAGATCACTTAGAAAGAAGTGTTTTAAAGCTGAACGCTCATCATCTTCCCTCCACAGTTGTCCTAATCTAACATTTCCCAAGCTTCAGGGAGTTGAGGCCTGCTCCCCACCCACAAATTCAAACTGAAGGTACAATCCACTCTTGCACCTCAAATAATGCATTTGCTATACAGTCAAACCTCGGTTGTCAAATGTAATCCGTTATGGAAGCCCGTTCAGTTTCTGAAATGTTCAATAACCGAGGCATGGCTTCCTGCACTCAGCGGAAGCGGTGTCGGACGTTCAGCTTCCGAAAAACCTTTGAAAACCAGAACATTTACTTCCATGTTTTCTGCTTTTGGGAGCCAAAACAGGATCCGAGGTTTGACTGTACAGAAACAAGGCTTGTGTCCCTGGAAGTGATCAGCTGCCAGGGAAATGTGTCTTGTCGCAAGAAAACAGAGGCCTTGTGACTTGACGCATTTGTAATTTAATCAACCGTTGGTAAGAAGGAAATTAAAGTAGATGATAAAATTACCTGGAATTACTTTCTGAATGAAGAGGAGGCAGCTGGATCTAGCAAGCCAAAGGATCCACAGTTAGGCAGCAATCCTAGTCCTCGTCTCGCCCACTGGATGAATTTTGTTATCTGTGGTATAGCAGAACTCTAACTTGCAGAGTCGGAGTCAGTTTAAATTGTTGTTTTGTAAAGCAAACACACATTGTTAAAAGAGAGAAGAAAGGAATAATTGTATTGCTGTACCTTTTCTTAGTTATGTATTTATGTATTATGTATTAGGGGATGCGGGTGGCGCTGTGGTCTAAACCACCGAGCCTCTTGGGCTTGCCAATCGGAAGGTCGGTGGTTCGAATCCCCACAATAGGATGAGCTCCCGTTACTCTGTCTCAGCTCCTGCCAATTTAACAGTTCGAAAGCATTCCAGTGCAAGTATGTCAGGAGTGCTCTGATGGTGTTTCCTGCTTGGCAGGGGGTTGGACTCGATGGCCCTTGTGGTCTCTTCCAACTCTATGATTCTATGATTCTAAGTAGATAAATAGGTACCACTGTGGCAGGAAGGTAAACGACATTTCTGTGTGCTTTGGGTTCTGTCATGGTGTCCCGTTGTGCCAGAAAGCGGTTTAGTCATGATGACCAAATGACCTGGAAAGCTGTTTGTGGACAAACACCAACTCGCTCGGCCTGAAAGCAAGATGAGCGCTGCAACCCCATAGTCACCTTTGGCCGGACTTAACCGTCCAGGGCTCCTTTACCCTTTTCTATTTATGTATTATATGACTAATAAATCAATACATCATTTCTAATCTGTAAAACAACATTAACAAAATAGCAGTCAAAAAATAAATTAAGCACTGTTAAGTTCATACTCACCACACCCAACCAATTTATAATCTTTCACTCTATTCAGCTCATTAAAACACACATACACATAATACCCGTGGCAGCAACAATATATTCATATGAATGAATATACATGTCATCATGTGAACTGATTTCTTGGGTCCTTTTCATCTTAAAGGACACAGACATAGGAACAATTAAAATATTGGGCCACACCTCACTTTGGGTTTGGGTGGGTCTGTGCCAAAGTCTTATAAATGGTATTTCAACCCCAGTTTGCTTGCAGATGTGGTGCCCAGGGAACAACTAAAACCAGCACAAACCGTTTATTTAAAATAAAACACTTTAACCCAACCTAGCGTTGCAGTTACGGTATATGGGATGCTATAAATCCAGTATTCTGGGGACATTGCATCAGCGAGGCTGGGAAGCATAAGGAGAAAGGAGGCCGGAGGAGGCAGCTTCACTCTTGGCTGAGATCTTGGTGCTTGATAGAGCATTTCAACAATCTGGTTCTGTTCACACTCTTGGAGCTCCAAAAGCAAAACAAGCAGAATTGCAGCTCTTGGAAACGGAATGGATGCATCAGGCACTGGCCCATTTGCATAGCACACTTTTCTTCTAGCTCATGCCTTAAAGAAGCAGTGTTTGGAAAACACGACTAGACATTTGTAATTCAAAGGGGGAACTTTGTTAGTACCTGTACTATTGAATATTTGCATACCGTCCTGATCTAGATGCACCTGGAATGCAAATAGCAACAGTCCACGATTCCACAGCACTTGCATCTTACTCATTTTGCACTGAGCCAGTTTGAAATACAAAATCACCACATTATTTGGGAAGAGGGTGTTGGGATGTTTTACGAAAAATGTTCTTGGGGGAAGGAAGGGATGTTACAAAACTGAGTCTTACCCTCCCATTCTTTTCAAATATGACCACGAGCCAAAGTCCTCTGTCATTTTAGCTAAAGCCCAGTCTCGGCGTAAGGCAATATGCTATTTCAAATCTGCAGGCAGAAGCAGTTGAGCAGTGAGATTCTCGGTCCTTCCTCATATGTGATCTGAGTGCTAGTAGCGCATGAAAATAAAGTGAGACCATTCCTGGAACGATGTCTCTCTCTGGTGTGATGTTCTGATGAATGTGTCGCTGTAATCATAGCCTTGAGCTGGGATTTATTAAAATAACAATATAACACACACACCAGGCACCAGCAGTCATTTTCCCACATGTGGGGTGGGGTGGGGAGATGCAGATTGTATAGAAGAAGCAGTTGTTTTGTTTTCCTACCACAGGTGGCAGAATAATCAATAGCTATTGCAGGGATAGTCACTGTGTGAAGTCACATGTTCAGACAGTAGAGTACAGTGGTACCTCGGGTTACATACGCTTCAGGTTACAGACGCTTCAGGTTACAGACTCCGCTAACCCAGAAGTAGTGCCTCGGGTTAAGAACTTTGCTTCAGGAGGAGAACAGAAATCGTGCTCCGGTGGCACGGCAGCAGCGGGAGGCCCCGTTAGCTAAAGTGGTGCTTCAGGTTAAGAACAGGTTCAGGTTAAGAACAGACCTCCAGAACAAATTAAGTTCTTAACCCGAGGTACTACTGCATGAGACACAATCTCAGGGATCATGGGTGGTTCAAGTTCCACACTGGGCAAAAAGATTCCTGCATTTTAGGAGCTTGGATCAGATGACTGTTGTAAACAAAATCTGCCCTTTTTCCCTTATGGGGTCCCCAAGAGCCGTATAGAGTCCTTAAGTGGGTTCCCTATTGGTAGGAGAAGATAACAGAGGCCAACCAGAGAATATTGAGAAGCAAAGCAGCTAGTAAGCCTGATCTTTATTAGAACTGTTGCAACAAGGTGCTCCCCCAACACACAGGAGCGAGGAGGAGGACCCAGAACCAAGGTGGCCACTCTTTTGTTATTATAACTACAGTGGTACCTCGGGTTAAGAACTGAATTCGTTCTGGAGGTCCGTTCTTAACCTGAAACTGTTCTTAACCTGAAGCACCACTTTAGCTAATGGGGCCTCCCACTGCCGCCGCGCCACTGCCACGCGATTTCTGTTCTCATCCTGAAGCAAAGTTCTTAACCCGAGGTACTATTTCTGGGTTAGCGGAGTCTGTAACCTGAAGCGTCTGTAACCTGAGGTACCACTGTACTTAATTCCTGAATCCAGGTCACAGGCTCACCCTGTTCATATCTTAAATGTGCCCTTAAGGCAGGATTGGTGAGCACAGAGACAGTGGGGAGGTTTTTTCATTTCCTCCCTCCTTGCAGAGAAACATTTGGTCAGTTTGGGAGAGTCAAAATGGTTTCAGGACTGTCCTCCTGTACTCTTTCAGACATGTGGTTTATGTATTTATGTACATGTTTGCTTGGGCATTTATTTTATGTATTTGAGACCTTAAATTCTTATAACATGACCCTCTGAAGGGTCTTGAGAAGCACATTCCAGGAGATGGAGGTCTGCAGCTCATCTGCACTATTCCGTTTGCACATCAGCTGAAGAAATGTGACCTAAGGTAGATTTTGTGACATCCTTCACATGGACAGCAGAGCAAGAGCACGTCAGTCTGTCACTAGAGGGATATTGTTGATGCACAGCAGAAAGACCAAAACTTCTTTGGCTAATCAAATTGCTAAAGATAATTTTTGCCTTCTCGTTTCACTGTTGCAGCTGATTTTGTGATTGCAACAAAAACAATTAGGAGGGAGGAATGCACGTTTTCGGAAGCCTGGAAATAAATAATAGAGTGTGCAATGATATTGTGTGCAGTTGCAGTAGTGGGACAGAATGGAGCAGAAGGGCCTTGCTTACCTGCACTGCCAGTAATCATGAGGGGTGAGGCAGCTGAGAGGATAAAAATGATAATATTAATTTATTATTTATACCCAGCCCATCTGGCTGGGTTTCCCCAGCCACTCTGGGTGGCTCCCAACAGAATAATAATAATAATAATAATAATAATAATAATAATGTGATAGTACTACCCTGATCTGTTCCACAATGCCACTACTATGTAGCAGCTATGAGACTGAGCTGGAAACCAGAAAACTCTTCCTTCAGATATTGCCTCTGCTCTAAACTCAAGTCACTTTCTCTCACCCTCTCTGCCTCCATCAATAATGATAGTGACCTACTTTGCAAGACTGTTGTACAGATTATGAGATACTATATGTTTAAGGCTTTGAACCCTTAAAAAGCACTGTGTAAATGGTAAGTTGTACTGTGGTACCTCAGGTTACAGACGCTTCAGGTTACATACGCTTCAGGTTACAGACTCTGCTAACCCAGAAATAGTACCTCAGGTTAAGAACTTTGCTTCAGGATGAGAACAGAAATCGTGCTCCGGTGGCGTGGCAGCAGCAGGAGGCTCCATTAGCTAAAGTGGTGCTTCAGGTTAAGAACAGTTTCAGGTTAAGAACAGACCTCCGGAACGAATTAAGTACGTAACCAGAGGTACCACTGTACAGTAGACCCCAGGCATGAAAACAGTAGACCAGCAAGTCCCATTGTATCAGGTGGGATTATGAAGACTCCTAGTTCTGGGTGTTGTCCCAAGGCAAGGAAGTGGGTTTGAGCAGCTGCGTCTCACTCCGCCAACAATGGAAAACTCCCTGTTGGTCTGGACACTTCAGCTCCCTGGGAGCCAGACATTATCCCATCACAGTACTAAGCAATGAATCTGGTGTGTGGAGACTTGCTGGTAAGAGGGACCGTCAGGCAGTTCTTGTTTCTCTGTTGACCCAAATTGGTGGACTGCAAGCTTCCAATGACTGCAGGCTTCTTTTTATCTTTTTTCTGCTTTGTTTTCCATCTTCTGTTATCTGATAGTCTGTAATCTCAGAGGCAGCAAAGGTCCTGTTTTACCATTATCACACACGGTACATATTTTTGGGTAGGGAGGCGTCCATTGTAGCCATCTCCCTGAGGCCTTTTCACCTAGCTGGTATTTCAGTGTCACCCTCTGTGCTAGAAGTGACTGATGTCCAACCCCCAGCTGTTGACTCTGGCCCCCAAGGGCACAGATGAAGCATTTGTTCTAATTTAACTGTTTTATGGTGCAGTTCGGCAAATGAACATGCACCTCTTTATCCTTACCTTTGACACCTGAGGTACATATTTTTTGAACCACCCTGTTCTCTGGAGTGCAATCTGCTTTAACTGTTTTACTATTATATTTTTAAATTCTTGTAACCTGACCTGTGACCTCATGATGAAGGGTGGGAAAGAAAAATCCAGTTGTTGTTGTTGTTGTTGCTACATAGGTGCACCAACAGTTACAATCTAATTAAGTCTGCTCCAAAATTAGTTTTGATTTGTTCCTCCTAGTGGTTGTTACTATAAACATATGTGAGAACGCAGTGCCGCAAGAGGATGTTCACCGGCTTCCCACTATATCATCTCAACAAAGAGAAGTATACCTGTTTTATTCACTGATTTGATGGGTATGTTTTGGTGATCTTGAAAACAGGGATAATTGCAGAAGCCTCACATTTGCTTAATCTGGTCCTGAGGCTGGGAAAGACCAGATACCAAAATACCAACCGCCACAATATTTTAGTAGTGAAAATGGCTGGGCTCAGTGGTCCCCCCCCTAAAAAGAATGTTTAGGGATACTCTCATTTTCCTTGTTGTTGTTGTTGTTTAGTCGTTTAGTTGTGTCCGCCTCTTCGTGACCCCCTGGACCAGAGCCCACTAGGCACTCCTGTCTTCCACTGCCTCCCGCAGTTTGGTCAAACTCATGCTGGTAGCTTCGAGAACACTGTCCCACCATCTCGTCCTCTGTCGTCCCCTTCTCCTTGTGCCCTCCATCTTTCCCCACATCAGGGTCTTTTCCAGGGAGTCTCCTCATGAGGTGGCCAAAGTCTTGGAGCCTCAGCTTCAGGATCTGTCCTTCCAGTGAGCACTCAGGGCTGATTTCCTTCAGAATGGATAGGTTTGATCTTCTTGCAGTCCATGAGACTCTCAAGAGTCTCCTCCAGCACCAGAATTCAAAAGCATCAATTCTTCGGCGATCAGCCTTCTTTATGGTCCAGCTCTCACTTCCATACATCACTACTGGGAAAACCATTACTATACGGACCTTTGTTGGCAAGGTGATGTCTCTACTTTTTAAGATGCTGTCTCCTTTTCCTACTCATATTGAAATACTGCCCCTCAATGAGGCCAACCTTAGATTCACAAAATGTTTAGGGGTATGCGTCCCCCTGCGTCTCCCCAGTAAAAAGCACAGGCTAGGCTTGTTAGTAGTGGCTGTCTCACTGCCACTGGGAGCGGGGTGCATCAAACAAGGGGCAGCAAAGCCTGTCCTCTTACCAGGGCCGGATTTAGGTTTGATGAGGCCAGAAATGTTTTTTATTTTATTTGTTTTTTATCTTATATTTTGGAAATGTACATCCAGTTTCTTTTCCTTTAATTTTTTGGGGGCCCCCCAGGAGAGTGGGGCCCTAAGTTATAGCTTGTTTAGCTTATCCGTAAATCCGGCACT